GCATCATCCAGTGCGTGTGCTTTTTGTCACTGACTGCTTCCCTACCCCAAATCTCTTCACATGCAAAGAACTCATTCAACATGAAGGTAATGCATGGCTTTATGAACCTAGGCTGCATACGCTGAGGGCTAAGCTACAGCTGCCAGCTGGATCATGCGAGCTATCAGTTCCTCTTACTGCTAAAGGTCCGTTTTAAATTAGTTTCTTGTGCTTCTGTACTTTGCTTTTGTGTTCTTGCTCCCTCTCCCACCTCTGCCTAAGATTGCATCTTGATTTTTGAGCTTGGAATTATACTATATCATTTTCTGCAAGTGAATAAAAATGAAAATCAGGAGCATGATAAATGCATATTTGGAGCTAGGGGATATAACTGTCACGTTCGAAGGACCAGTATAACTCAAATGCTTTTCCAAGGTCAAGTTATACTTGCTGAACAAATTTGATCCTTAATGTCAGAGAAAGCAATGGATTTCTGTTTATTGAATCTGATTACCTGTTGTATATCCATCTTTGATCTTTAATTTCATGCAGTATGTTAATGAAGTAAAATCTTGATGTGCCATTTAGAACATAAGACGACCAGGATAGCTTTTGAAAGTGCATTGTTCTGTTGAATTTTTATTTTTACAGGTTTTTTTTTTGGATATTTTGATGGGACCCTAACAGCATATTTTTAAATTCTGATAGAAAACTTTTACTCGGAAAGGGCACACCGAGAAGCTTATGCAACCATCCTGCATTCTGCACATCTTTATGTTTGTGGAGCCATTGTTGCTGCTCAGAGTATTCGCATGGCTGGTTCAACAAGAGATCTTGTGATTTTAGTAGATGAGTCAATTAGCGACTATCATAGGGGGGGCCTGGCGGCTGCTGGATGGAAGATTCATACTATCAAGAGAATCAGGAACCCAAAAGCTGAGCCAGAGGCATACAATGAGTGGAATTATAGCAAATTCCGCCTTTGGCAGCTAACAGAATATGACAAAATTATTTTCATCGATGCTGATATGCTTATACTGAGGAATATCGATTTCCTCTTTGAGATGCCTGAGATATCAGCCATAGGAAATAATGCCACCCTTTTCAACTCAGGAGTGATGGTAATTGAACCGTCACATTGTACATTTCAATTGCTGATGGATCACATCAATGAGATTGTCTCCTACAATGGTGGGGACCAGGGGTATCTGAATGAAATATTCACATGGTGGCATCGGATTCCAAAACACATGAACTTTCTGAAGCACTTCTGGGAAGGTGATGAGGAGGAGAAAAAAATTATGAAAACTCGTCTCTTTGGAGCTGATCCTCCAATTCTTTATGTCCTCCATTATTTGGGTAATAAACCCTGGCTTTGCTTCCGAGATTATGACTGCAACTGGAATGTGGACATTCTGCAGGAGTTTGCCAGTGATGTGGCTCATGCGACATGGTGGAAGGTGCATGATGCCATGCCAGAGAAATTACAGAAGTTCTGTTTGCTTAGGTCCAAGCAGAAGGCACAATTAGAGTGGGATCGTAGACAGGCAGAAAAAGGGAACTATACTGATGGTCACTGGAAAATTAAGATAAAAGACAAGCGTTTAAAAAAATGCTTTGAGGATTTCTGCTTCTGGGAGAGCATGTTATGGCACTGGGGCGAAAAGAATTGGACAGATAACTCTACAGCTACAAATTCACCACCTGCCATCACTACCAAGCCTCTCTCTTCCGTATAAATAAATTATTTTTCATGCTTTCATAGTTATCGTAACTTTTGCATAATTGCTACTTGCAAAATTTGCCCTCATGCGCTGCTCTGTAACTAGGTCAAAATTTTCCATTAATTGCATTTACTCACCAGAGTTTTCTCCGTTCTTTTAAACTTAGTTACATCATTCTTATGGGTATTTCTTAATTCTTAATTCTTTATTGTGCGGGCTATGTGGCATCGAACTATAATTTATTGTTTGTTTCCTCAGTGTAATTTATACCATTTTAAGATTTGGATTGGCACTTGCGGGCAGAATAGTTCCCAGTTTTATTGACATGATCATATCAAACATATTTTACATCCCTCCTTGCACGTGCTGGTAATTATCTCTTTCTTTATTTGCAAGCAAAGAGGCCCGATGTCCTGACGTATACTAATGGGATATTGCGTTGAAGTTATTGCCCCAAATAAAAAGGCCTCGAACTTGGAATTTAGGACTACGGTTATATTATGATCTGGAAGCATAGCGTGTTTATTTGCAAATATATAACATGAGATTACCAATAGGATTAGATCTAATAAAAAGAATTAGTTCTTTATAATGTGACCAATCAAAGTTTAATCCTTATTGAGAGAGTTGCTTTTACTTAGTGAAAGGATTATCTCTAATATGAAAATATATGTGCTTAGCCAAAAAAAATATATATATCACTGGAGATTAAGACCAGACATGTTTTGTCGCATGAAAATTGATTTCCTTTTTGACCATACGTGAAATCTGATTTTAAGCTGCATTATTTTTTATCTATCATGAATAGTATATTTTATTTATTATGAATGGTATAATTTGCGATACCAATGATCTATTTAATTTGCACATTAGAATAAACTCAATGCATCGGTGTGGGTGTGCTCTTTTTTGAGCCATGAGCGCCGCGCTCTTCCAATCTTAATACTTTGTGATTTTTAACATGAGAGGTAATTAGGAATTAGATTAATCTTAAATATAAAATCTTATTTTAATTTTTATATTTATTTTTTCAATATAATTTACCTTAATTATATAATTTGATATACAAGCCAGGATTATACAGGGATATTTCGAAGAAAATTATGTTATATTTTTTTATAATTAACTAATTTCTTACTCAAAATAATAAAATAACTCCTGTATATAACAGATTAACCATTGACAAATGACATTTTCGTTGCCGCCTTGCGGGGAAGCATGTACATAACAGATTAACCGTGGGAGTTATAAATTTAATTTGCTATAAATTTAGAAGGTGACGCTTTTTTATTTTGATGAAACAGTCAATATTTTATGATCTATTTAAATTAAAAGATGTAATTATATATCAATTTTTGGCTGCGAAAGGACGTACTATTACAGCTTTTGATTGTGGGAGAGAATATAATTTTTCAAAATAAAAACTAGTGTATGTTTCAAATATATGTCATGACAAACGAGTAATTAACCCAAAATAAATAATACACCCAATCCTTAACACAAGAAATAAATAAATGATTTTTAAATATTAAAAAATTATTTAAATTAATTATCTATAATAAATATATATTGACTTTCCTAAATTATTATCCTACTTACTGTTTTTCCCCAGGAAAAAAACACTTACGGTATGATGTAAACAGGCCCATATAAGGGCATGGGCCAGAAGCAAATTCCGCACAGATCTGGGGCCCAAACAGTGGTCAATCAATCATTGATGTCCTTTAAGATCTGGCACATTTGGGTGCACATTTTGTTATTCCAGTTTAAAAAAAAAAGAAACAGAACTTTAGATGAGTTAGATTCTAAGGGTTAACTAGAGTCAAGACATGTTTACAGAGGTACTTACAGATTACCCATCAACAAGATCTTCATATCAGTAACGAGATTCGAACTTATAATCTTGTGAGCTATGAACCGACTATTTACCAATTAGATCTATTCCTGTTGGTATTTTGTTATTACAGGTTGTGTGTGTCTTCAATAACTGGTCAGGCTTGGGTTTCTATGTTTTCAGGGAACAATGAATGTTTCGTGCTTTTGTTAACCTAGGCTTGATTGAGGTTTTGACTGTTCCAGTCTCGAGGCAGTTATTAAGTCGGACTTCGCGTATGTGTTATCTTCAATAATTTCATTTTCATACCAAAGAATAAAGAATTGTTGACTAAAGTATTTTTGGAATTTTAGAGGAGAATCTTAGATTTTTCTTTAAAATTTCCAGAGCGGTCATCACTAATCAAGGTGGTGACACCTCTGACTGCTGTCTCATATTCAAGGGTTGAAGGAAATCAAATCAACAAAACCTAATTTTTGATTTCTTGTGATGAGTATAATTGGATCCTTCTTGTAAGCCATGGGCTGACACAATAACAGCAAATCTTGGTGGCTCCTTCTTCTCCATCGTCCATCCATCTGCCGAATTCGTCCCAAATGATGTCCGCACACGGACCGCGTTTCGTATTTAATAAACCTCGGAGACAGCACTCGAAACCTCTTTCAATCTTACTACTACTACTACGTTGGCACGCATGAAGAACGCATTCGGAAAATAAAACGCAGCCCGCTATATTTACCTGTATTTGTTCTTCGTCTAAATTTCACAAATCTCCCATGCTCTCCCCATTCCATCAACCCAGAAACAGAGTATATGAAGAATCTTCCATCCGTCAATTAAATAACAGCAATGGCTAATAGTATTAGATTATGATGACTGTGTCCGTGAAAGTTTTCAACGAGATCGTTGAGCGAAAGTCGAATCCTTTGCCCACTTCATTATGACTATAGGCCGCAGGTCCCCTTGAAGCGCACGATGAAATTATGGGCAACTTGCGGCACGCGTGATCGCAAGATTCTCCAGTGCTTCGCTGCTTTGCCCCTCTTTTTCGGCTTCTATTTAAAAACCAAACCATTTGGGTCCTGTGGGCTCCGCAGGGTTAGAAACCGAAAGCGAAAGGTCCCCAACGGTTGAATGTTTCCTTTGACTCATCTTTCAAGACCAAACCCCATCCCCTCCAACCCATCCGTTTAGAAACACCGGTTTGTTTTCTCTTCTCAGCCATCACCAACACTGATTGGATGGTATCAGTCGCTGACAATACGGAATCATGAAACGGCTCTGTGGACTGATTCCTCAAGTGTCCAAGCACTAACCAAACTGCCTTTTGACTTTTCAATAATTGTCTGACCACCTTCGCAACGTGACGTGGGTCTTGCTTCGCTGTGCCATCTGCATCCTTACCCCCCATACATATTATATGTTTAATTAATATCGTCATTTTGCCCAAGTTACCGGCTCCTCTAGGCCACAGTGAAGCCAGTCACCTGTCTGAATCCAGCACCAGCGTGCAACTTTCTGGCGTCTCCCTTCTCGGTATATTGCTATCATTGATATTTTGAGGCATATTCTATGTACTTCAGATCTTGAGGTAGGAATATACCTTTTTGTCAAAGAAGCCCGGGATTCACGTGGCCTGCGTAACAGAATCTGTTTATAAAAGATGAGATATCATAATCTAATTCAATTTTATTTATTTATTTTAAATAAAAGCTTCCTTTTCTGTAGGCAGGAGCGGCGCTGGATTTACTGGTATATTAAGCCGAGCATAGTGAGGGGATATGGATAAGGGGCGGGTTTTGTTGTGCCGAGGTATTGGAATTCTCGAAATGGGTAGGTGTTGGTTGGTTGGGATTTTGATTGTTTTGGCCAATGCGTGGTCCTTGGTCCAAGGCTACCCCTCAGAAGATCTGGTGGTGACTCTTCCTGGCCAACCCAAGGTTGAGTTTAGGCAGTATGCTGGGTACGTTGATGTGGATGTTAACCATGGAAGGAGTTTGTTCTACTACTTTGTGGAGGCAGATAAGCACGCCGACCAGAAGCCCCTTACTCTCTGGCTCAATGGAGGTTCGTAAGCCCCTTCCTCTCCAACTCAGCCTCAATGTCTTGTTTAGAGTTTACCTTTTTCAACTTTTTGTCCTTTTGAGGCGTACGATAGTTTCTTCCATGTTTATTTGTCTCTCAATCGAGTTGATGCCCTTTTTTTTTGTCCTCTTGTCCCTATCAATTATCGATAGAAAATCCTGTTTGCTCGCTCCCCGGTGACTGTTGTCCCGTTTTATACAGATCCTGTGGATCAAGGATTTTGAAATGACCTTTGTTTGCGGTCTATTATTTCACTTCTGTACTGCATCTGCTCATGGAAAAAGAACTATTTTTTGAAGTCTCATAACGGCTGCATCAAATCCATCTTTAGAGATTCTTTCATCTGGAGATTATGAAAAACAACCGCTGGATGGATGGGGGGTTTCCTTGCTTTCTTCTGGCGAATTACATGCACATCCGTTCATTTGTCTCGCCTACTACTAGAATTTCGAAATCCGGAGTCTCCAATACCGCGCAAGAGTGAAGTTTTAAGGATGCGTATTTGGCTCACTTGCCTGCATTTTGCGATTTCCTTGTTTCAGGTCCGGGATGTTCTTCCATCGGAGGAGGTGCCTTCACTGAATTGGGCCCCTTCTATCCTCATGGTGATGGCCGTAGGCTCCGAAGAAATAGAATGTCTTGGAATAGAGGTACGCTACTTGACAAAACCACCTTCACATGAATTTGCCTCTGATCTCCGTATGTTTGGCTTCAAATTGATTCCCATCATGCTGTTTTTCACAGCATCTAACCTCTTGTTTGTGGAGTCCCCTGCTGGAGTTGGATGGTCATACTCAAATACGACTTCAGATTATAACTGCGGAGATGCTTCCGCCGGTAACCATTATGCTTATTTTCGTTTCTTCTAACGTCGTGTCTATCCTTCTCTTTTTACAGACTAAACGCTATTGTATTTGCTTCTGAGTCGCTGATTTTTAATATAATTTATTCAGAATTTTGGGACCCAAAATATAGGCCTATTAGAATCTGTTTTTGTTTGAATTCTTTTGTCTGAGAATTTACTTCATGCTTGGATTCCCCTGCAGCCAATGATATGTACTTATTCATGTTGAAATGGTACGAGAAATTCCCTACATTCAGAACAAGGGCGCTGTTCCTTACTGGAGAAAGCTATGCAGGTTCAACTTAAATTCCTCGGCCTGCTGAGTTCCAATTCTTTTCGATTATTTAAACGTGTGGAATTTCAAATGCAAATCTCGTGTTTCGAAATATTTCAAACTGTTTTAAAGTTTAGAATATCCAGTAGCCTTCTTTATCATTTTCAAATGCTTCAAGAGACGTGTTCATCCGTGATGCAAATTCTTGTTCCATTGGTCTCTTAGATGGCCCTGTCCCCATAATAATGTTTTCCCCTGCTTCTGTAATTTTGTTTGTTGTTCAGGACATTACATACCGCAGTTGGCTAATGCTCTGCTGAACCATAACGAAGCCTCGAGCGACTTCAAATTCAATATTAAAGGAGTTGCTGTAAGATCCAACGTTCCTCTTCCTTTGCTAATTTATATTTCTTTCTTTTGAAACGGTCCTTGCCGTTTAGTTGAACTCTGAAAATTCGTATGATATGTTCTCCCCTTGGCTTTCCTTGCCTAGATCGGAAACCCACTGCTGAAACTTGATCGGGACATTCCATCAACCTATGAATTCTTCTGGTCGCACGGGATGATTTCTGATGAAATAGGCCTTGCCATCACGAATGAGTGCGATTTTGATGATTATGCGTTTGCAAGCCCTCACAATGTGTCCCACTCATGCAACCGTGCCATATCAGAGGCAAATCGCGTAGTTGGGGAATATATCAACAACTATGATGTGATTCTGGATGTCTGCTACCCATCCATTGTTGAGCAAGAACTGAGATTAAAAAAGATGGTAACTCTGGTTCTGTTTTTCTATTCTGCAACGCTGCTTTCCAGCGCATTCATGTGCCCTGGTCTTTTATGCAGGCCACCAAGATGAGTTTGGGCATAGATGTCTGTATGAGTCTTGAAAGACGTTTTTACCTCAATCTTCCTGAGGTTCAGAAGGCTCTGCATGCTAATCGTACCAATCTGCCATATTCCTGGTCTATGTGTAGCGCGTAAGTATTGTGTAATGCCTACTTCCACGTAACTTGCTGAAAATAGTCTGTACTGATAATTTCACTGCGTCTCAATTGACAGCATTTTAAATTATAGCGACACCGATGGGAACATCAATATCCTTCCGATTCTCAAGAGGATCGTTGAGAATAAAATCCCAGTTTGGGTCTTCAGGTAAATAAGACAGACACACACACACACGCACGCACAAGCAGCCCCTTCATAGGCGCAAAGGCCATTGCTCATTATCTGATATGCATTATGTGTAAGTAATGATTGGAATATGAATTGGCGACAGTGGAGACCAAGATTCTGTGGTGCCATTATTGGGTTCTCGAACGCTGATTCGTGAGCTAGCCCATGATCTGAAGTTTGAGGTGACGGTGCCATATGGAGCATGGTTCCACAAAGGGCAGGTACTTTGGAGTATTTAGTTGTGTAGTGTAAAGTGCAGAGATAAGTAGTTGCCTGTTGCTTGAACTAATGAGGATTGGTGGGTTATGGGTATGTAGGTTGGGGGTTGGGCAACGGAGTATGGAAACTTGTTGACTTTTGCGACGGTGAGAGGGGCTGCCCACATGGTGCCCTATGCACAGCCTTCAAGATCTCTCCATCTCTTCAGTTCATTTGTGCGTGGCCGCCGATTGCCCAACGCCACCCGTCCTTCCATTGATGGATAGCCGCAGTTACTTCCCAAACCAAAGGGCCGATGCAAAATGTTCTCCTGTGCCCTTCTCGCCATTGAATCCTAACAAAATTGCATCTTTTATATTCTTTATTTTCAAAATTTAGATAGAGATTCTGCAAAGTAGATATTTTTATTCCCTTTTATTAATTATTTTCAATTTCAATTGATGGCGTTGTCTTTCCAGTTTGCGTCAACTGAATTAAAAATTGGTGAGACTTAATAGTTTTTTTGATCATATATTTAATTAATTATTTTTTCATTCCCCGAAAGCATTAACGTCTATAGTGAAACTTGCAAGCAACATCGTTGTCGTCATATTCCAGAATCTGCAATACTAGCGTAGTCTGATTGGGTGGATGCTTGGCCCTGTTAGGTCATTCAAAAGGTTAAAAGACTTTTCCTTTGTCCTCTTCGTATACTTAATATAAAACTTGATTATTGAGTTTGTTTTGGTTCTAAATATAAAATTCACTTTTTATATTTATCAATTCTCTCTAAATTACTTCTATGAATACTTCCTCAACTATAATCAAGTAGAGGAGGGAGAGAAGATATTAACAATGATGATTATGGTGTTTTAAAAAAAACATGTTATATTTTTTATAATTAACTAACTTATTTAATTTCTTTAATCTAATCAAATTAGTTAAATAAATCTTATACTCCCTCCGTTCCTTATTATAAGAGACAAATAACCGAAGTACGTTGATCAAAAAAACAGTTAAAATTAGTTAAGAACAATTAATGTGTAAAAAGTATAAATTTTTTCCCAAAACTACCCTCATTAATAAGGAAAGAGAGCATGAGAGAGAACAATTAAATTATTAAAAGAAAGAGAAGTGGGAGGGAGAGAGAGTGTGAGTTGGAGATAATAAATATGGGTAAAATAGTAAACCAACACAAAAAAGTAGAGACAACTTGTAAGTGTCTCTTATATATAGGAACATAGCATAAGTATCAAATGTCTCTTATAATAAGGAACGGAGGGAGTATTAAAGAGCAGAAGAGTATTTATTTAATTAGGATGGGTTCTTGCATAAAACTTGTAATAATATCTACCATGGATGAAAAGTACCGTAACAGTCTTTGTATTATAATTCTTTCGGTTTTAAGTATAAAAGTTAATTATAAAAATTAGTTGAGAATTTTGTTTTGACTATAAACGCAACATTTTAATTCATTTTGTTTTTAAAATTGATATTGTTTTCTAAACTGATTCTAGTAATCATATACATTAAAGAGAGTTTTGATTAGTGGGTTAAATTCATAAAATAATTAAAAGGATATCTTTAGAGAACAATTAAAACACTTTTTTAATAAATAACTTCTTAAATATATTTTTAGTCTTTATAAATTAATTATCTAACTTTTATATTTAAGATTACGGAGTAATAAGAACGGTTTACATTTTTTTCCCCACTATTAAAACCCCGCCCATCATTGTGTTTGCCCCTTCCAAAATTAAAGCATGGAAGAAAATGAAAGAATTTTGTGAGCAGAGCAGAGTTTTAAATTATAAAAAGAGAGTACTACTACAAGACAATGGTGGCGAGGGGAATCTTCGATGATTCCTAGGTTTGCAACACATTAAGAGCGTGTTTGGCTCAGTATTTGGAGGAGGACAAGTTTTTTTTTTTTTAAAGCAGAGGGAAAATTTGTGGTGTTTGAAATGGTGATAAAGTAATTTGATTTTTATATTAAAAGCTACAATAAACTATAAATAAAAATTAACTACTTATGATTTATAGCTTATGACTTGTGACTTTTGAAACATGTAGAGAGAAAAGGTAAAGAAATTTAATACTTTCTTTGATTTTTATTATAAACCTTAAATAATTAATTTGTTGATAACAAAAAATTAGTTAAAATTAGTTGAAAGTGATAAATAAATTAGAAATATACTTTGTTTTCAAATATGTCTTTATAATACTCTTCTATTCTTATTTATAAGACACTTCCAATATATTTCACACATACCAAGAAAAATCTTAAAATGTACTAACTCTCTAAATATAACAATTTATACTTTTATCCACGTTTAATATATACACCTTTTGAAAAAGATAACTAACTACACTATAATAAATGAAGGACAAAATAGTACATTCACATTAAAAATTTAATGAAGTGACTTACAAATAGGACAAAAAAACTTCTCTCTCTACCCTATAAATAGGACTAGAGGAGTAAATGATAAAAAAAAAGAAAAGAAAATATATGAGATCAACAAGAGCCCATAAATGATTTAAAATTACTACTTCCGGTCCTTAATATAGATCTTGTTTGACTTTTATTTTGATCTTAAATATAAGAGTCTAATCTATTTTGTCTCTCATATTTGTGTATTTTTTTAAGGTAGTCCTTCTAATAATATTAGTTTTAACCAATATATTTGATTAGCAAGGATATTTTAGGAAAGACAATACTTGTTTATTATAAATAACTAACTTAACTTATTTTCTTAATCTTCTCAAATTAGTTAACTAGCTTTTATAATTAATTAGAACCGAAGATAGTATTATATTATGTAAATTGATAAAAAAAATTTCATTATTTAACAAAAGTCTTACACATTTTGGTAATTTTACAAATAAAAATTACTTATTCAGTCATGATCCAAACAACTTATTTTCATGAGCTAACTTTTATAAAATCCAATCCAAACAAAATTCACATCACCCAATTTAATTTTTATCCAATCTAATTTTTTTAAAAGTCAAAACAATAAATTACTTTTTTAATTGTTAATTCAAACGCATGGAAAATGACAATTGACTTATTTTTTGGGCCAACGTATTAATGACAGTTGAAGATCTCTAATTATTGAAATGTCGTTGCTGGCAAAAAACAGTTATTGAAATATCATTGGAGAACATAATGTTTATATATAGTTAAAAGCAAATTACTTTATCAGTTGATTGGCAAAAAAAAAAAAATTACTTTGTCAATTGTGAATTGTTGAACAGTCTCGTTAATTTATGCATTTTTATTTTGAATTTTAAAAAGTTTACTTGTAATTTTATAGATTGCATTTGTAGTTTAAGGAGAGTCTGAATAGATAAATAGTCTCTCATGAATATATATATATATATATATATATATATTGTTACTTGTGCATTTAACGATAACTAATTATGAATGAATGAATAAATAATCTAGTGTGAAGATATGCATCATCATTTGCATTCTTATAAATAGTTTAGATTATAAAGTAATGATTCAGCGGCTCGCTCCTGTTTTTTAACATCCATACAGGTGGACTTTTCATAAATTCACAAGTAATATTTGTAAAATTCACAACTTACTATTTTTAAATTTTATTATTGACAATGCTTAAATCCATAAATTATCTATTCCTTCACAATTTAGTTTTCATTGGTTAACATAGGAATGATTATGGTGACCTTCTCACCTTCCATCGATCAGTTTCTTCATTTGAGAACAAGGGCAATTTTATAGGGTGATTTGCTTTTTAAGTGCAAATAAAAACGATTATGCTCTTATAATGTTTCAATAATGAGAATTTTTCAACTATCATTGATATTTTTGAGGAGGCTTGCAATTGTTTTTTTATATTTATTTATGTATTTAAGATTCATTTAATCTGATTAATGATAGTTTTTGTGAGTTTGAAGCCAAAGAAAGATTCATTTAATATACTCCTCCGGTCCTTATTATAAGATCCAATTTGACTTTTTATTTGGTCCTTATTATAAGATCCAATTTGACTTTTTATTTGGTCCTAATTATAAGACCCAATCCATTTTGTCTCTTATATTTATGCATTTTTTTCCAAGATAATCCTTCTAATAATGATAGTTTTAGCCAATATACTTAATTAGCAAGGATATTTTAGGAATGACAACACTTATTTATTATAAATAACCAACTTAACTTACTTCCTTAATCTCTTCAAATAAATCAATTGGGTCTTATAATTAGGACCGGAGGAGTACTAACTTAAGACAAAGGAGGAGAGAGTTAAAAAAAAAAAAACATAGAAAATGTGGCAGCCAATAAAACATTTAAAGGCGCTCATAGAACCAGTTTAAAATCCACAGGAATCCCAACTCTGTCCTCCAATTCTACACAAAACCACTGCACCCCTTGTTTTGTCCGAATCCACCTATTCTTCTACTCCCACTTGTAAGATTTTTTTTCCCTCATCCACATTTACAAAAATACCCTTCATTCAAAACATTGTTCAACCCAAACAAATCCGCAAATATGATGAATTAATTACTGAGATATTCGCATTCTTCAAAGTTTTAGCCAACTAACTACTAAGTTTAAGAAATGGCAATCACGAAATTATTTCTGAAACGAAGGCCCATTGAATCTCCATCTCATATAAATTCTCTCCTCAACTCAGAGTGACGTTCCACAAGGAGCACGCGCCACAGGCCAGACGCACAAATCAGATACCCACCATGCAGAGTTGCCGCTACCTCATCACCCAAGCATGGGCCCCGGCGAGCCTAAAGCGGACAAACCGCCACCCCCGTTTACCATCTCATACAGTCCGGCTCCGGTCACCACCGCCGATCTCCGCCGTGGCCGCTCCAGTAAAAAATCGAAAGGCTCATTCAATGCCGCCGGAGAAGGCGGAAGTTTTCAAGTCACTGGAACGCTGGGCTTCGGAGGGGCTTCTGCCGCTGCTAAAGCCGGTGGAGCAGAGCTGGCAGCCACAGAACTTCTTGCCCGACTCATCGTTGCCGTTCGATGAATTCAAGGATCAAGTGAAGGCGCTGCGAGATCGGACGGCCGAGCTTCCGGACGAGTACTTCGTGGTGCTGGTGGGTGATATGATCACGGAGGATGCACTGCCTACATATCAGAGCATGATAAACAACCTGGATGCGGTCGGGGACGAGACCGGAGCGAGCCCGGATCCGTGGGCTGTTTGGACCCGTTCTTGGACTGCGGAGGAGAATCGGCATGGGGATTTGCTAAGAACCTATCTATATCTATCCGGCCGGGTCGATATGCTCATGGTCGAAAAAACCGTGCAATACTTGATTGGAGCCGGAATGGTGAGAACCCCCGTTTCTTCTCTTTTGCTTTTGGTGTTCCAATGAATAATTAATAATTGATCATAAGCCTTTTACTGGAATTTTAAACTGATTTATTTATTACTGAGACGGGAAAAAAAAAAAAGAAACATCCTTTTTTTTTGGTCAGGAGAAACATCTTGAAATGGCATAACCAGCCTGTGTTAATTTTATATAATACTCTTCTAATCTTAAATGTAACACTCACTTTATAGTTAAGGATGAGAGGAGTACAAAAGCTGGTTTTTCTATATTCGTTCATCTTGCGGACCTACTGTAACGTTATGTGGGGGCATTACTGCATTGCATTACTATGACATTGATGTGATTTTGTTTTAAAATAGATTGATTGAGAGAGAATAATAAATAAATGGTGAAAAATGGCAGGATCCGGGGACAGAAAACAACCCATATCTGGGATTCGTGTACACTTCGTTTCAAGAGCGAGCCACATTTGTATCGCACGGCAACACGGCTCGCTTAGCGAAGGAGGGGGGAGACCCGGTGCTGGCGCGCATATGCGGCACCATCGCAGCAGACGAGAAACGCCACGAGAATGCGTACGCGAGAATAGTCGAGAAGCTGCTGGAAGTGGACCCCACGGGAGCAATGCTGGCGATCGCAGACATGATGCACAAGAAGATAACCATGCCGGCCCATCTGATGTACGACGGGGAGGACCCACGCCTGTTCGAGCATTTCTCCGCAGTGGCGCAGCGGATGGGGGTGTACACAGCGAACGACTACGCGGACATATTGGAGTTTTTGATCGAACGATGGAGGTTGGAGAAGCTGGAAGGGCTAACGGGCGAGGGGAGGCGAGCCCGGGATTTCGTGTGCGGACTAGCACCGAGGATTAGGAAGTTGCAGGAGCGAGCCGACGAGCGAGCGCGCAAGATGGGGCCCCATGGCGTGAAATTCAGCTGGATCTTCAACAAAGAGGTGGCCTTGACCATGTGACAGCCAGATGTAGCTGGTCATTGCCACCAAGGAAAATGTGATTTGTGTGCCATAGAGAGAATGTCCTCCTCCTCTTTTTTTTTTTTTCCGACGGGATGAATGCGAAATAGTTGACACTTTTGGTGCCTTCCCTGTTGCTCTCGTTCATCGGTGTACGTATAGTGTCAGTGACAGTAGTGAGCAGGATCTAGCTAGTCTTTGCATATAGTGGCAAAAGCCGAATGCCTGGTCAATCAATAAAGACCTCAGTATGCCTATTATGTGAGTAGGCCATAATCACAGCGTTAGCATTCATGTTGTACTGTGTGACTTGTGATCTCCTCTGACCACAAAATTCGCTGCGCCATTGAATAGATCTAAAGGCTCCCAGGTCACAATAATAACGACGATGACGACGATGATATAAAGCCCCAGATCACGGTGCATCTTAATTTAGGATATCATTTAAAAACACTTGTAAACATATGTTATATAAGTTAAGATAATTATTCTCACATGTTCATTTATATTTATTAATTATAATTAAAAAATTATTTACAAACTATTCAAAAAGACTTCTCATTGACCCCAGTGGTTGAAGAAAGGAAAGCCAAATAGACGTTCACACGCTTGAATAACACGGCAACGCAGCTAACGGGGATCCCACGGAAGCAATGCAAGCCAACGGCCAGACGGCAGCACTTATTAAGCGTTCTTCATCCCACGGTGCATATGACTGGCCAGCATCCGTGGATGATGATTACGAAGCCACGAGAGCCAGCCCCCATGCAGTAAGGTCGCCAGCCTCCCCAAACTAACTTATCAACCCTCGGCTGCTTTTCGGACGAAAAAACAACTTGGTTTGATGAGATTGGTACGACCACGAGGATGTAATTACTTGTAACAATTGGCTTAGAGTTTACAATAAATTATGTTAATCAATAATGTAACTCGATTCTTTACGCAGGATTGAGGTTTTTAACCTGCCGGTTCACTATGACAAAAATCACATTGCAGAGCTAACTCGGATGTCTTAAAAATCTTCATGTTATTAAGACCCGGTGATATTCAAACTTAACCTAATAATATCCTTTCTAAAAAATAAATTTAGTATTTCATAATATATATTCATAATAATTTCAGTATACTTTACGATCTCTTCCAATTTGCTTATTTTTTCTAAAAAACATAGACTAAATTATCCTCATCTTGACTTTGAAGACGGTTGTTCCAACAGAGTGAGGAGGGGTTAACTGAAGAGCTTCAATGTATCTTCATGTACTCCAACTAGGATTTGGAAAGTACTCACTCTGACATGGGTGTGATTTATATCGTGTCTAGGAACTACTCGGTTAAATTAAATGGATATAAAATAAAACTAGACCCATTATTCACTACCGATGATAATATAAATGATCTATTGATAAAATAACAACTATAATCCGATGAGACATTCAAGTTTTGGAAAACTTTCCACCCTCCAGTATTATTATATCGTTTGACATACGCAGTAGGACAATCTAGGAAATGACACTCTTGACAAAGAATTAAACAAGCTGATGGTGGCATTTCAAGTTTGAACAAAAGAAATATGACGACTAGGAGTGGACTGTGGCGTGGGTACAGGTCACCAAAAGTTCAATCCGAGAGACAAAAATCAGTCAACTCCCCCCATTCATACTGCACATAACAGCATTCCCACAATCCCACAAGCGGATCACATGTTCAGTTTTATTCTCATTCTTGCATACGGATGATGCACCTGATTGACTGCCCTTTCAGCATATAATCAAATGCCTTGTTGATCTCTGAGAATGTCACTGTATGCGTTATGAACTTCTCCAGTTCCAGCTCCTGCCATAACAATATCATATCATATCATTTTACCCACAAAACTAATCTTGCCCTCTCAGAGGATGAAGATCCCACAGTTTATATTTAAACTCACCCCTTTCATGTACTTCTCCACAACATTAGGAAGATCAGTGCGGGGCTTATAGTTACCATAGAAAGTGCCCTTCAGAGTCCTCTCATTCAACAGATTCATTGGATGAGTTTTGAATGCATCGTCTTTGCTTGGAACACCCACAAGCACCGCCACGCCCCAGCCCTGAGAAGAAACATTTCAAGGCGCAAAAGTTAATCAAAAGCTGAATAAAATGTCGAGAGATCAACCATGGGGATTCTGAGTAAGTACATCGTGAACACATTCGAATGCTGAGATCATGGCTTGTATGCTTCCAGTACATTCAATGGCACGGTCAACTCCTCCGCTGGTCATTTCAGCAATTACCTGTTTCGCCATTAAATTTACTGCCTCAATCCTTCAATCCGACATAACCAAAAGTAGGAAAGACAGTAAACTTCATATCAAATTGTCTTTAAACTAACCTCTTGAACAGGCTTGCTGTGTTCTTTTGGGTTGACGAAGTCAGTGACCCCAAATTTTTTGGCTGCCAACATTAAGCGATACAGAGGCTACCATCAATAAGTGAATAGCAATGGCGATTTTTCGTAAACATCTAAAATGGAAAAATTCTACCTTCCTCAAATCGGCTGTTAACTAAATCCACCCCTATAATTTTTGATGCGCCAGAAATCCGTGCTCCTTCACAAGCCTAAAACTCAAAATACAAACAAGAGCAGGAATCATCATACCCTCCATTATTTGCTGAAGAATTACAATAAAACTAGAATAATTGGGAAAACAGCATACAGCAAGGCCAACAGCTCCCAGTCCAAAGACTGCAACAGTAGAGCCAGGCTTTGGTTTTGCAACGTTAATGGTAGCGCCAAGACCTACAGGCATAAATAAGAAATGACGTTGAAAAACAGAACCACCTAGCTAGTTTGCTGGTATTTACAAAATCATGGGATCTTTTAAACCTGTGCATATTCCGCAACTGAGAACACAAACTTTGTCAAGTGGAGCAGCAGGGTTGATCTTTGCAACACATCCAGCATGAACAACGGTGTACTCACTAAATGTGGAGGTTCCGACAAAGTGGTATATGGGCTGTCCATTTTTGGAGAACCTGGTCTTGCCATCGTTGAGCATGACACCCCTGTCGGTGTTAATCCTAAGAAGGTCGCACATGTTGCTCTCCTCTGACTTACAATGAGGACATTCCCCACATTCTCCTGTAAATACAGGGAGGGCATGGTCTCCCGGTTTCAGATGAGTCACACCCTCGCCAACGCTCTCCACGACTCTGTATCACATGACCATAGTTTAATTATAAGCAATCTATGACGGAAGGAGCCTACCAAATTATTTAACTGTTCTTTCTTTTCCCTCCTTTCCTGTTTCTCTAACTTGAAAGAATCTAAAGAACTGGTTACTCTTAAAATGGCATTTAGGACAAAAGGACTTGATAGAAAGCAATCTATGTCAGAAGCTCAGAATTCAAAATCAAACCAGTAGATCATACTAAGGTAAGTGAGCAGTTAAAAACCGAAAGGAAAACAATGTGAACCAGATTATACAAAAGGAAGTCTCGATCTTGGGACAACAATTACTAAAGAAACGTACCCTCCAGCTTCATGACCGAATATACGAGGAAACAATGGAGTCTGGCCCTGAAATGAGGGGGGGGGGGGGGACAAAGCAACTTCACATTAGGTTTAGAAAATGAATGAATGTGAATGGTTCTGGGCCACAGAATCGAACGACTGAAAATAGATTTCCTTGATTTCTAATACCATTCAAGAGTTGGAAGGGGGGGGGGACAAAGCAACTTCACATTAGGTTTAGAAAATGAATGAATGTGAATGGTTCTGGGCCACAGAATCGAACGACTGAAAATAGATTTCCTTGATTTCTAATACCATTCAAGAGTTGGAAGACCAAAAAGGGGATGAAATGCGGCAAATTGAAAAGGAAATATCACTGCCTAGGTCCACTAACCTAAAATATCACTAATGTTCGGTGGATCAAAGTTCCTAATATTCTAAACAGGGATGAATTTAGTTTTATAAATAAATCATTTATGGAATAGTGTTAGAAATACAAGTTAAGAATGAATTATGATAAATCACTAAAAAATTCCTCATTTTTACATAACAACGGCGACAAAGTTAAGTTTTAGAACAATATAACCTCAGGTCACCACAATCTTACATTAATTGAACAAATGCATGAGAAAATAAGAACTTAGTAATGCTACAAGTTATTATAGTACAATAGCTAAAAAGGCTTAAGTCTTCCGGAAAAACCATAGAAGAAAATGCAAGTGAAATAAATATTACCTTGGCCTCCCAGAAGTAAACATCAGTGTGGCAAAGAGAGGTAAAAAGGATCTTCAGACGCACTTCACCAGCCTGTGGCGGTGCTACCTCTACTTCCTCCATGGAAAGCGGCTTGCCAGCCTCCCATGCCACCGCAGCTACATTTTACGAATATTACATCAATTGGCAACACAACCCCATAATTTGCAAAAACAACACCGGAAAACCCAAAATCCAGAAGATGTAAAACAAATACATTCTCCGAGGCATGCATTCAGATAATTTGTTCGAATAATAGTCGACAGCCAAAACTACACGGATTCAAAAGGGTCCAATAAAAAAAATCATTTCAAATAACCATTAAAGGAAAAGGCAACCCCGATGAAGGTTGGCGAACATTCCATATTCGGGAAACATCCGAAATATAAGAAAAACTGAGCCCCACAATCGGCAATTCAAAGGTATAAGCGAAGGCGGTGAAGCCACTAGAGTGATCAAAGTTGCAGGCAATCGATATATAAGAGATTAAAGAATTCAACCCAGCCCCCATAATACAAGAGAAATGACGAGAAAGGAGGGTCTAGTAACAGACTGTGGGGGCGGAAGATCAATGGAGTGGGGAATAAAAGGATGGTGGGGATGGGCATACCTCTGCACTTGATGGCCTGACCAGCAGTGCTCGACATAGCTACAAAGGACGAAGAGAAATGAAATGATCGACGAGTGAGAGAACAGAGGAGTGAGAAAGAACAGGTTGGGGAAGAGAAAAGCAGGGAAGGGGGATATTTATAGGGAAGGAGGAGTGAAGAAAACCAACAAAGAAGGGGGTGGAAAGGACGAGAATACCAGTGGGTACGCTACAGGGTTGGGAATGGCGAATGGGAGAGAGAAGAATACCGAGTACCGTGGTGGGGTTGAAATCCGGGGGGCCGCCACGCAATTCTCCGGTTTTGTCGACTCTGACCCCACCATTTTGCCTAATATGCCATCCTCTCGGGTAACGACCAGGTTCTCTGTAGAATCACCCTCACTTTTCTCCCGCTTTTTTTAAAAGGAAAAGGAAAAAAAGGGGGGGGGGGAGATTACAGAAGCTTTATTTTAATTAACTTCAATTAGATGTATCAGAGCTCTTGACAAACAGGTCCACCCAGCAATTTTGATGCTATCCCAAATTCGAATAAGAGAAGAGACAATCTGACGTCGTGTCTGACTCTCCTGGTCATTCTTATTATCAACCAATAAAAACAGAATATTAAAAAAATATTTTAATAAAAGATCAAATATGCATATGCGGCGAATAGTAACTATTTTTAATTATAAGTAACAGAGTGCATAAATGCGTGACCATCTGACAAGTTTTCTTAGAAAAAATAGTTGAAAAGGAGGCAAAGGAAGGACCACGTGTCAAGAAGACAGCGACAATTACGTCGGTGCTTGGTGCGTCGATGTGCCCTTGAATGGTGAATCCCCGTCCGAAACTGCCGAATCTGGTTGTCGGATGCCCATAGGGAATGAAGCATGCTCACAGTTTCTTTCTTTAAAGCCCTAATCAGCTCACAGTTTCTTTCTTTAAAGCCCTAAAACCAAATCAATTCACATGCTCTTCGAAGATCCAAATGAGAATTTTTCCACGTACCGGTCATCATATAAATCTCAACTCTCTCCGTACTTATAAAGAAAATCTGGAATTGTCTAAAGATTATGAATATCAATATCAACATCAATTAATATACTACCTCCCATCCTTAATATAAAAACTAGTTGACTAATTTGAGTAGATAAAAAAATTAGTTATGTTAGTTATTTGTAATAAATAATTGTTGTTTTTCCTAAAATATCTTTATTAATCAAATATATTGGTTAGAACTATCATTATTACAAAAACTATCTTGAAATAATGGGATAAATACGAAAAATAGAATGGATTGGAATCTTATATTTAGGATTAAAATAAAAGTCAATTAAATTCTTATATTAGGAACGGGAGGTAGTATGTGGTAAAAATGAGATGATAAATCATGGTAAATGGATACTTATTTGAATAGCATTCTTTTGAACTTCCTTTCACAATGCTTTTCTTTCCTTTTCTTTCTCCCCAAACAAAAGTTAAGGTTGTAAAACTAGCCTGTAGTTCGGACATCTTCCAAAACATACGTGAAAGTGAGTCGGTCAAAATTTGATAAACAAAAAAAAAAAAACTTGTTAGAATCTAGGGGTGTTCACGGACGGATCGGGACGGGACAGGCCGTTCCGGTCCGTCCCGATGAACAGTAACGGGACAGATTTCTGTCCCGTGTCCCAGCCGTCCGGTTGTCCCGGTCCCGATCGGGACGGACGGATCCGGGACGGGACCGGGACGTCCCGAAATGATTTTTTTTTAATTTTTTTAATTTTTTTAAATTTTTTTAAATTTTTTTTAAAAAAATCTAATTTTTTTAATTATATTGTTTTGAGCTTAAATCTTATAAAAACATCTTTTTATTGTTTGGGTACTCTTAAACAAAAGCTCAAATATTACATATAATAGTCATTAAAAACTCTAAACAAAAGCTTTTAAACAATAAAAACTTGCTAAAAATTCTAATAATCAATAATCTCAAATCATTAACAAATATAAAAATTCTAAATAAATATATCCATAGTTCCATACAATAGTCTCAAGTCTTAAAAAAATATGAAAAAATGATATTATATAAAAAATTAAAAAAATTAAAAAAATTTTAAAAAATTTTAAAAAAAAGAACCGGGACGGGACCGGGACGGGACGACCCCGTCCCGTGTCCCGTCCCGTCCCGGTCCCTTTTTTGTCCCGTCCCGGTTGTCCTGTCCCGAAAAATTTCGGGACGGATCCGTCCGTCCCAATAAGACCGGGATCGGAACGGGCCGACCGGGACGGGCCGGCTTTGAACACCCCTATTAGAATCTGTCAAAATCATTTTTTAAACATTCAATAAACCAAAATTAATGTCATGTTGCGCTTTTATTTTGCTTTCTTAGGAATGCTTGAATTTGCTTTTTATTAGTAATTTTATAGTATTCAATATAAATATATTATAGCAATTATATCTCGTGTTACCTGAAAGTACTTTTTAAAGCACTCTTAGAATATTCCAAACACCTATATGTGCCTAATGATTAATAGGCTTTATTAGTCATGCGAGTCTGTACTCTATACTACCTCAATTCCTTATTATAATAGTTTGTTTGATTTTTAATTTGGTTTTAAATATAAAGTCCTAGATTCACCTTTGTCTTTCATATTTATTTTTTTTAAAGTAATCTTTGTAGTAATTATACATGTTAAATGTTTCATCAAATGGTAATTATATTCTAGCTAGTATGCATAATTAGCAAGAATATTTTAGGAAAGATAACACATATTTATAACAATAATTAATTAACTTAACTAATTTTCTTAATTTCCTCAAATTAGTCAACTAGGTCTTGCATTAAGAACCAGAGATAGTATTAGTTTAGCCAGACAATTAATAGACAATTTGAAAGTATTTCATTATTAATATAAAATTATAATATTTAAAAATGTACGAAAATATACTAAAATTAAGATGTACGTGACTGGCCTAACAAATACTACATGACATATTTTAGCATATATAACCATGCATAAACAAATATTATCTACATTATTTTTCACATATACTCTTTTGGAAATACTACTTTCAGTCTTTAATATAAAAGTTAGTTGATCAATTTGAGTATATTAAAAAAATTAATTAAGTTAGTTTTTTGTAATAAATATGCATTGTCTTTCTTAAAATATCTTTACTAATCAAGTTTATTGGTTAGAATTACTATTATTATAAGGACTATCATTAAAAAAATGAATAAATATAAGAAAAATAGTAGATTGATGCCTTATGTTTAGGACACAAATAAAAATTAAATGAGTTATTATATTAAGAACTGGAGGTAGTATTATTTTAGTTAGACCAGCTCAACTCCATTTCAATGAGCCAGTACCCTTGGCTGATACAGTGCTTAATCTGGCTTTGGCAACTTAAAAAGGGGTTAAACCACAAAGCTATCAAAGAAATTTTTATTGGGAGCACCAGGCACCTGAAAGTTTTATTGAAAATTGATTTATCCTGAAAGTTCAAAATGTAGCAATATTACTCTTTACCATTAAAAAAACCAACACAGACCGTTAAAATAGTGACATTAACCGGTAATATTTTTAACAGAAGAGGATAATATTATTATAATTTTAAACTTCTAAAGCAAATTTGTCCCCAAAAAATTTCAAGACAAATTTAGATCTTGGCCCCCCCCCCCAAAAAAAAAGAGGCTTGCAGCGAAAAATATGTGGCGAGACCAGACATATAAAAGAAAGAATGGTGGACGCGACACTCGTGGTGAAAAAGAGGGGGGAAAAAAAAAAGACGTGTGTGGGGCTTGTAATAAATTTTATTTATTCCGACGCGCATGTAATTGTTTCAAAATTCATTAGGTAATTCGACGAGACGGTGGCGGGGTGAAAATTGAACTGCTAAGTCGCAATTAGAAAGCATCCTATTTTTTACTTTAAAAACAACTCGAAGATGTATTTTTAACCATGAATCAACGAAATTAAAAGTTACTTCGAAGAGAAAAAATTAAAATAAGTTTTTAATGACTTGTTACTTTTTATTCTTCAAAATTGAACAAGAGGCGTAAGAATTAGATCATGCTTTAATGATAATTAGGTAATTCAATCAAATCACTTTTATCACGTTACGTAATTGTTTTAAGAATGACCACTTTTCCAAAAATTGTTCTGAAAATTACTCTACGTAATTGTTTTAAGAATATAAAAAATAAATAATATTCCCATATTTATTCCTCTCACGGACAAAAATAAAAAGAGATCGGGTAAAACAAACACGCAAGTACGACTAAGGAGTGTTTAGATTATCCAAGAATTGTTTTTAGAAAGCATTCTTTTTATAAATTGAGACAAATTTTTCACATATTTATTTTACATACTGTAAAAATATTTTTAAAACTATAATTTTATTTCTACCTAAATATCTTTTAAAAGTTGGCGGGCTCAGAATGGGATGATGGATCGAATGGGAATGTGCCGGATCAGAATTAGAAGGTTGTGGTCCGAAGACAAACCTTTGGGCTCTGTGGCGGATATATTTTTGCCCTATTCCCTGTGCCAACTGCCATGTCATACGTGGATGTGTATAAAATACTATTTCCAATCTAAAATATAAAAACTAGTTGACTAATTTGAGAAGATTAAGAAAATAAATTAGTTAGTTAGTTGTAATAAATAGATGTTGTCTTTCCTAAAATATCTTTACTAATCAAATGTGTTAGCTAAATCTACAATTATTAGAAAGATTACCTAGAGAAAAAATGTATAAATATGAGAGACAAAGTAAATTGAAATCTTATTTAAGATTAAAATAAAAATCAAATGATATCTTATATTAAGGACAAGAGGTAGTATAAAATTTATAATAACTCTACTGTTTATTATTCGCAAACATAAATAGAGAGTTCATATATTTAATGGACCTTCCCAATTGGATGAGAACCCCCACCTGTAAAAAGTAAAACCCATTACTCTCCATACAATGCGTAGAGAAATTTGTACGGTTTTATCCACAGTTAAAGTTGTTTGAAAAACACAGGGAAAGTACACACACATATGTATAAAGATGATGATATTGAGACAATTAACATAAATCTCTGCACCAATACGCCCCTTAGCCAGTTGAATTTTCGTTTGGTAATCTGTTGAAACCTAATTAAGTTTTAGATGTATACAAACACTCATTCAAGTCTCCGATCCCGTCAGTAGTGAAATGGACTCGTCTGAATCACACACAATCAATTACAATATTCGTATCGGATATGATTTGCAGAACACTATTTTGACTGGGACTGCCATTAATTTTCTCTTATTTTTACCAGCGGAGTGCCATTAATTTAGACTGTGGGTTCTCTTCGAATAAAATAGTCCTTAACTTATCCTTGTATGCATATATGGAAAGAAGCCAGGTACGTACAGAAGTTTGGTTTTTGATTGGGCCAGTCATGGATGGTTATTTGTTGTGTTATGAATTTTGGTGAAAACATGTGGATTGCAGTGGGAAGAGCAAAATGTAGAAACCTGCGAGCAGAAAGCAGGTGTGGTTCTATAATAATGAATAATGATGATACATCTTTCCCTTTCGGCTGCCACTAGGATATGTATTGCCCCCTTGAAAATGCAGGAAAACTTAAGCTGCGGCATGCGTGCGTCATCTTGTCACATCCTCAAAGCCCTTTTAGGCCTTTTCAAGCCTACTGTTTCACCCAGCTGAGGTCAACCTTCTCCGCCGGTGGTTACTACCATAATGGAAACCCTCCATTTCTGTCTTCTTAAACCCCGAAATCATGGCCCATAATTAACTAGTGACTGTCGGTGTCGCCAGACACAATTATAGAGCGACCTGTAAAGCCTTTTGGGTATTACTTTCCACAGCTCCCAGCTAGCTACTCTCCTAGGCTTATTATGCTTTTCTGCTCCTTTATTCCCTGTCCATCCACCCAAACACGATAAATGCACGCTAGTTATGTCTTTTCTTCCAGCTCTAGTTTGTGTCCTTTCCAGAATCAGAGGCCGAGAACGATGTAGTATAACAGCGTTACGGGCAAGGAAACTAGCATGCCAAAGATGACCCTGCAGATCAATTATGATTTGCGAATTAATACAGTTGCAAGCACACAATATAATTAGGCTTTGCGACTTAAATTGGAAATCGACCAGCAGTACCATGGCCCTATATAGTTTTATAATGATGAACGTAAAAGAGCTTGCACGCTGTCATGAGAAAACCCTAGTAAGTTTTGAGCAGTGGGAACTTTTACATCCCGATGATAGATGTACAAGTAAGTGAATGCAGGACATTGATCACAAGAAATTCATCAACAAAAGGGAAATGGGCTTTCATGCTTTTTCGAGTTCATAATTGAGTGTTTCCGAATTATTTGCGTTCTATTTGTCAATGATAATGACATGCGCGCTTCACACAGATTCGGTATCCCAGAGCCGATTCACAATCATTTCACATTCCATGGAAGGATACCAAGAGTTTGAGAAAACTGGGAGTCTCTCTCATAATAAACTTGCGCCCCACCCCAGCTGCATATGCATACATGCATCCAAAATTCCAAATCCATATCATCATCGACAATTCTCCCTTAGTGAGAGTATGATTTAGGAAAATAAGAGTCATGTGTCAGTGACACAGGTGTGTATATATATGTATAAACTCACCCAGTGCTCAAGATATCAGGGTGGAGCCCATATTCTCTAGCAAACACAAATGGCACGATGCCTTGAGGCAGAGCAGCCTGAGGAGAAAGTGAAGGCAAGGTAAATAAGAGATTAGGAGGAAAGAGGATGGCATCTAGTGATCAGGAAAATCAAGGATGACCTGCACAATAGCAGTATGGAGTTTGGGTCCTGTCAATCCGACCGCAATGGAAGCGGCAGACATTACCAGCGGCCCTGCGATGAAGCGGATTGCCATTGCCATGGCTGCTCTTTTTGAGCCGCACGCTATCACCCTCGGCTGAAGCGCCATGAACAGCCCTGCAAAACCCATCCACAAAATCACATCTTCACCCGTCCCTCTCTACATGGATGTATTTATGATTCATGATCGTTTTGGTAATCAAGTTACCTAGGCTGAACATGGCCATCCCGAGGCCCGCATCCGAAATTATTTTGATGGAGGATTTGACCAGACTTGGCATGTCCACGTTCCATCTGTAATTTATATAACCAAAAATGTAGTCATTTAATTAAATAAGAGAGGCATATTTAGCATGCACGCATGCTTGCCTTTTGTTTTATATATTTATTTCTATTAGGTCTCACATACTTGAAGGAGATGAGAGACCAAAGAAGGCCCAGCGCACTAGAATATGTATTAGGGTTTCGGGAGAGTTTCCTCCCAACCACCACCATTATAAGTCTCATCATCACCACCGCCCCTGGCATTGCCTGGGCTTCTTTGGCCCCACCCGCTTCTTCCGCCGTCGGCATTTTGCTGCAGTCCCTGAAACTTATCTCCTTCTCTGAAATATACATATCATGTCAATACTAGTGTATAATTAAAACAAAGCTGTGAAATCTTCTGCCATATTGCTGTTCGTAAATAAATTAATGAATTGAGGAAGATTTGGGCGCTTTATGAGTAGAATGAAATTCTGGTTTCTTATGATTCGATGCTATAATGGCATGGAAATTCTACGCCATTCACCCCGCCTTTAGTGGAATAAAATCCTTTACCTCCATCATATCACACGTGCTCCTTCCCAATCATGACTACCATCCATTGTGCTCCTGACTCACCCAAAGTGCCAAATTAGCTTTCGCAACCAAAACTAAATTATTCTACCCCCATATATTGCTGACCATCACTTTATAAAATTTCTCCATTTTTTCCATTTCAATGTCATTGTTTCGACTTTAGACACGCGAGGGTGGGAGGGACCACCTGTTCGTCCACTGCCTAGTGCTTTGTAACTCTACTATAGAGGATATTCAACCAAGTCCCGCAGTACACCTTAAAAAATCCATGTGGATTCAATTTTTGACATGTTTCGGATCGATCTATTGGATTTAGACGAGACGGCCAACAAGACCGGTATTGTTCTTCCCATTACCAGATAACGACTACGTATAACGCTTATAGACAACTTTACGTGTACAAGAACTGCCCATACCTGAAGCCGATCCAGTAATGTCTTTGCATCCTTGTCTATCTCCGTCCTGATGCTTTCCTGGCGGCGACTCGCACACCACCCTCGCCCCTGGAAATGCCATCGGTGACTGCCGGCACATCCTCCCACTGGAAATCGGGGACCTTGCCCATACCGGCGTGCTCATCGTCGTTGCGGCCTCCAATTCGTTAAAATTTGACCGCCGTGGCGTCGGCTGGAGGGAGTACGCATCCGACGACGCGTACCCGGACAACTGAGGGCTGGCGGACAGGTACCCGAATCCCAGATCGCCATGGCCAAACACGATATCATGACCAACTCCAGCCGCCGTTGCCTCAGAAGCAGCTCCGTGAAACTCATGCAGCTGAAGTGGCGTGTTGATGGAGAAGATATCGGCATTGGACAGGTTGGAGGGTCTGGGCGTGAGGCCTATGGACGAAGACAATACGGAGTCAGGGGCTGACGATGTGGACCGTCGAATCCTCACACGGATACGCCCATGGTTGTCGGTTTCGGAATCCGTTCGAAGGGGCACGTCGCGCCCATCGAGGGATATGACGTCACCGTCGATCTCGAATTGGGTTATAGAAGCAGCAGTAGGGCCAGGAAAGTGGGTGTGGATCAAATGGGTTGCAGCTCTGTATTCAAACAGAAACAGCAGGAGAGTGTACCTGAAAGGCATTCCACAGTATTTTAATACAGCGCATGTATGGAACTTGGACCGCTTTGCTATTATTTGTGTGACTGTTGCACTAACAGATGATGAGCTATGTGGTCTATACTTTAAACAAAATAAAGAGAATAAAAAACGTACCATATGATGCACTGAAGCACGACAAGCTGAACCATGAGGGACTGGGTGAAGGGACCGTACATGGCTTGGAGCAAAGGGATGCCCATGACGAGAGTGTTGGGCAAAGTGGCCAGGGAGAAGAGGGTGATGAGCCAATCCAAGGTGCCGGAGGAGAAGAAGATGGCCCAGAGAGAGAGGAAGAGGAGGACGAGGAGCTTGGAGATGGTGTCGGCAATAATGAATTTGGAGTCCATTTGGTAGGGGTTGTTGTCGGAGATGAAATGGAAGGAGAGGACGGGGACGGCGAAGACAGCGACGAAGCGATTGATGCCAGAACATTGGTCGGGGGTGAATATCTTGCACCATTTAACAGAAGCATAGGCCAAGAGCATTGCCGAGTATAGAGGAACCATTGCGCACATGACGTGGTAGAAATCATCTGCTGTTATCATCCTTTCGGCTTCGCTGGAGAAGGACGACGACGACGATGTGACTTCAGCTGTGAGTGAGGAAAGTGAACGAAATATAAAGAGCTTGCTGGCGTGAGCTTAGCTGTGAGGGGTTAAAGAATACTGCTAGGTTTCTTTTAGGAAAGCTAAAAGGGTGAAAAAGTAATGTGTAGTAATCGAAAAGTTAGATACGAAAATAAATTTCAACTTATGCAAAAGGGCATCACTATGAATAGGAGTAAAATTCTCCTTTCCATCATAAAAAACACACGCTCTCGTATTTTATCTTCTTCTTCGTTTGTATCTAAATAGAATTTTTAAAATCTGTTTTCACTCTGCCAATAAATTTTATTTCTTTTATCCTTTTTAAATTTTTTGTTGTATTATTGATCGATTATCAGAGCACAAGAAAGCGAGTTATGTGTTACGAAATGAAGACGTGACGTAATAAGGTGAGGAAATCTTTATTTTCCTTGGCCTTGTGTCACGAAATGGAGAGGCCCCTCGCCCGTTTGAAAGTTGGAACTTTCGGAATTATTTCACAATTTTGGTGAACTGATACAAAAACTGTACTGAACTTTTAAAAATATTTAACATCCAATCTCTCTCTCTCTCTCTCACAAGCACAGAGTCTCATATATAGTTTGACCGCGCTGCTGCGCTGGTTATACAGTTTTAACAATCGAGACTATATATACTCACGATGGACAACAAGTGCAGGGCAAAATCTGTAAGGGTTGCAGTCTGCAGTTTCTCAGTCATTGTAGCAGGAGAAAAGGGTTAATATATTGTTGCCCTCAGAGTGTCATCAGTTTCCAAGGATGATTATATTGCTTCGAATGTAGAGATATAATGCATGAAGGAGATTCAACTCCTTTAGTTGATTTGCATGTACCTTTTGAAGATTTAAGCGAAGCCAGACAAGTAGATTAGGAGTGTAATGATACCACCAAAGCAGACATAAAATTGATCCGATCGAGTGGAGAACTATTTTAGTTGTTTTGGTGTGATGTATAAACTGGGGAGAGCAGAGCCTGAAAGAGCGGGCATGGGGGGTGTCTGGGGAGACGGGGGCAAAACTTGTCGCATATTGGAGGGTACGGACAAAGCTAGTGATAGTGAAACGACATGGCGTGGTTGGGAGAGAGACTTAACGCACGCCTCGTCCCCATCCATCAGTGCAATGCCCTCTGCATTCACTTGCTTCGCATCTCCCCGTACTCCTCCGTCTTCTTCTTCACTTCCTCTATGTCCTCACACTCCTCTTAATGCTGTGATTTGCCTCAGTACTTCCAGTCAAGTCCTTTTCTGGTCGGGTCAAACTTTACCCAGTTCTCAAGATACCTTTTTTTTTTTTTTTGAGCTCCTTCTCCTGGTGCTGCGCGATCTATTCCTTTCTCGTGTTTGTATGTTAAGAAGTTCAAGCACGCAAATTATTTCAAAGTAACTCTTCATTTACGTACGTGTTCGGTTTTCTCTCATGGATCGGGTTGTCAGAATGATACTGTTTCGGTTTTAGTGTGTTGAAGACGCTCGCACTTCAGTGTCCGTGTCTTAAGCCCAGTACCATATTTCCAGCTGCACGGGGCACACAATTGGCATTTCTGTGACGGAAAAAAACAAGATTGAGCTTGGCATTATGTCTTTTGCGAGTGGCATGAATATATAGTTAATTTCAATGAGGTCTCTTTAGATTAATTTGATGATTTTAAGAGATTTTTTCATATTTAATTCTTTTGATCGAAATCTTATTGCAGTTTTCCCCAAAAGGCGAAAGTTAGCCCCAGAAAGGAGGTTTTTAATGAAAAATAAATTTTCTGAAAACTAAACTGAGCCTGAGTAGGCTGACGGGCACCTCCCGAGAGACTGCATTTTAATTCATAATTTTACTCACATGCTCCTACACTTTTTGAGGTGTACTTGCAAATTAAACCACTCCTGCTGCATTCACACCTAGCGCATTGTTCAGAATATAATAACAAATTAGGAAGAAAAATAAAAAAGGCGCTTGTGGGTGTGATGTTCAGAATCATTAGAACTGCAGAAGAAATTAAAGAGTGACGGCTGTACCAGCCAGAGCAGTTATCTTAATGCTGATAACCTTGAAGCCCAGTAAAATATGGGGGGGGGGGGGAATTTGTGAGCCGGAGGCCATGGGTTCGATCAATGCTTCCGATTGAAAAAAAAAAAAAAAAAAGAAACTCAAACCTCTTACTTGTCATGTTATTTAAAATTACCATTTCGTGAGAATTACTTAATATGCACAATCACCATATAAATTATTTGGAGTTAAAATTAACAAATATTAGTCGCAAAATAAATTATGAGTCTTATATTTAAAATTAAATTAAATATATAACTAGTCCTTTGTCAAAGATTGAAGTTCGTATGATGGTAGCACCGGTTAGGACACCAGTATCTTTCGCTCCGAAATTATATTTCTCATTGGGCACCACAAAATCATTGAATTTCTCTCTTCTTACAGGCCTTTAAAATAGAGTTAAGTCTTTATAGTTTCAACCAATTTTGAATCAAATCTCCATAGTTTTTTTTTATCAGATCCTTATGCTTTCACCTGTTTTTTGTTAAGTTCTTACACTTATTTTTCTTTTTATTAAGTCCTTATAATTTCACTAAATTTTTAATAAGGTCCATGTAGTTTTAATTTTTATTTATTAATTAAATATAAATTAATTAAATAGATTAATACCGAAATATAAAATATTAATAATTACATTAAATTAATAATTTATAAATAAAATAAGTAATATAAATAACTGATTCAAGAAATTTTTTTGGAACAATTAATTTTTTTTAAAAAATTATTATAATAATTCATTATTTTTAGAATATTATTGTTTATAACTAATATTAAATAATATATACTATTTTATGTTTATAGAATAGTACTATTAGAATTAATAAAATAAAGAATAAAAAATTCAAAGACTTAATTAAAAATAAGGTAAACTTATAAGGATTTCATAAAAAGAAAAATAAATACAAGCACCTAATTAAAAACAGTGAAAATAAAGGACTTGATTAAAAAAAATTATAAAGACTTGATTCAAAATTGATTGAAATTATAAGGGTTTGCAGATTAATTAATCTTTTAAAATACATATATGATTTCTCCAGCCGAACGAGCCTCTGAACTTTCTTTGGGGCTGAGAACTTGATGCGGGCTTTTCTGTTCTGTACCAAAGTCAGGCTTCAAGAATCTGTATGTTCAAGAGGCTATTTTGGGCTTTCACGTGTTTCATTTATGAAATGTCACAAATTATGAAATATGAATTTTTCAGAGAGGCATTCAATACCTCACATTTTCATTCCTGGCGCAAAGTTTCTTTAGGAGCTTTCCCCGAAGCTTCCCTAGGGACAAAAACTAGTCTGGGCCTTTTTTCAGAGACTTTCTTAGGGATAAGCTAGTCTATCTACGTGCTTTGTTTTTTTCCCCCCAGCGTGTTGCTAGATCTCTGTACTAAAGCAATACTGTCCACGAGTGGAATATTGATCATAATAATGACTTTGTGGGTGTTGCTTTCCCACTATCAGTTTTGATACAAGCTCAATGCCTTGTATTATTCCCCCCAAAAAACAATATTGATCATGTGCTAATATTTTGTGACTCTTGAATTTTAATTCATATTATGCATAAATAAGTTTCTCTATTATGTTTATCATTGTTATGTTTATTGGTAACTGATGCCATGCTTTGCTTGGAAGGAAGGGGAGCAAAATATATCCCCTCTCGTCCTTTACATGGGACAGAAAACTATGCAAAATTAAATAATTTGCCTTTACATTGCTATATTTATATTTTCGTATACTCGTGATCTATTCTAAAGTATATAGAAAATTAAACTACTTATACATAGTAACAGGAAACAATGTAACATAGTTCACACTTCTGCAGAAAAGCAGGCCTTCACGTCCTAGCTTGAATCTTCATGGCAAGAAGCACATGATGTCAAAGGTGCTAATTTAAATAAGCCTTATTGTTTGTTCTCTTCAGCTGTCTGATCATTGATGCGAGGATTCCTAGCTGAGCTTCTTGGCTTGGGCCTATGACAGCAGAGGAGTAAGGTGGAATCGGCTGATCATCAAGCTGCCATATGTAATTCAGAACTTCACCCTAAACGCGCTCCCCTGTATTCTTTCATCTAGTGATCAGAAAAGCTCAGATACTGTTCATCATTTAATGACCCGAGCAACAAAAGTAATATATAAAACTCTAATGGCTCTGGCACAGGGCGCTTCGGCAGAAAAGCAAGAACGTTTTTCTTTTCTCCCAGTCCCAGATGCCCATAACCCGTGTTTTTTTTTTAAAAATAAAAACTATTCCTTGCTCCACTCGCCAACATTCTAGTTTATTGTCCTTTTCACCCTATCATCAGGTAGGTAGCGGAAGCAAGGCCAGCATCGTATTCCAACCCTGCCTGCTAGAACGAAAACCCCAGATTCTCCCTGCGAAATCAACCACGAACAACAGTTGCCCAGCCCCCAATATCCACTTAGCAGGTAAAATATCTCTCATCCTAAACATATCCTTATTCTTCCTTGTTTTAGCTTTTAAGTTCTCGCTACCCTAAAGCAACATTCTGATTCTTTATCTATTTACGTTTAATATATATTTAGCGATGAATTTCTTCCTATAATGCGGGTCTGGAATCGACAATCACTAGATAATGGGGGAACAGTAACTGAGTTGAAATTCAGCTGATGTGATGATGAAGAGCACGTCGCCATGATGGCACCGATCATGGAATCCATGACGAGATGTCATTAATATTCTGCCGTTTGATTATTCCGAACTTCTGTCTCGATCGAGGCAGTAGTAGTCCTTTTGTAGTTTGCAACCTTTTGAAGCACACATTGCCTTCGAAACAGTATCCGCAGGAACATAGGCATTGAATTCCAGAAACGTTAAGAGGGCATCAACATATTCAAGTGAAGCAAGTCAAAAGTCCTCTGTTCCCAATATAGCGTGCATAGGTCTCTGTTTGGCAGAATATTGCTTTATGTGGTAATTACTCTGCGTAGGCTTAAGACTCTGAGCTGGAAGCCTAGGAATAATGTCAAAAGCTTAATAATAGGTAGCGCGCACACACACACATATCAAGATAAGGGATTGACAGAGTTGTTATCTTGTGTGAGTCATAGACTACCAGGAGGGGGAAAAAAACATAGATCACTGAACTTGCTTCGACTAGCAGCTCATTCGAAAAATCGAAAGGGACCAGACCCATATGGGTCAGAACGATACATGTATGGAACTAATAATGATGCTTCTCTGATAATTACCTGCAGATATGAAGCACCTGTGATCGGTTGTATCGAGATGAAGTACTTGACCATTTAATAAGGTAAAAAGACAAAAGAGAGTGAAACCAGTGGGAAGAACGACTGTGATTCAGATTCTACCTTCAAATTAGTGGGTGTAATATACAGATACCTACATGGTCTCGTATAAATAAGACGTGTTGGAAAGAAGCGTGTTGATGCTAAAAGCTCGCTTTCACGTGAAGGTGGTGATAAAAAGGAAGGCAAAGCATCTTGTTGCTGGGGAAGGTTGGCGATTTTGTTTTGTTTCATTAGTGCCCAATTTGAGTAATCCACAAGCAGCGTCCTGTCGGGGCCAAATCACGTCGTGAATCGTAATGTGTTTCTTGATCGATTTGATAGATTCTTTTTTTATATATTGAACCCAAAAGGAGGCCATACGTGCCTCCTAATCCAAACTCGAATGATTTAAGCTCATCGATCTGCAGTATACTTGCAGTTGTTGAAACAGTACTAAAAATGGATGCCAATTATAAGGGCCACTTTTGTGTTTACACGCATGAGAAGGGATAGCGACTTAAAGGGTGGGCAATTCTTTACCTCACCGCTTTTATTTTAACGCCAAAGGAATCTTGATGATAGATGTGATCCATACCCACTTCAAGCGCTGTGCATCCGCCCATATAATGTCAATTATTAAGGGCCTAATCCCTTTGTAAATTCTAATTAACCAATGCTTGCTTACTTCAATAATCATCCATTATTAAGTCACTACTCATATTCGTGCGGAATTTTCCGTGAGAGACAGTACACAGCTACAAGCATTGAATTTATACGCAGTTGTCCTTCTCACACCGAATAAGTCATCCTCACAAAATGAAATGTCTGCAGCCCCATCGAGGAAAATAATTAAAGACGAATTAACATTGTGGGAAAAGAAACCTTTGTTTTGTAAAAGAAAATATAATTGCGATATCACGGGGTTAAATAAAATTGATGACACAGCATATATGTTGGTGACACCGTCCAAACACAGTGGTTCACTACAGTCAGAATGATGTCTCTCTCTACACTCACACAATCATGCTGTATCACTGTATTTATTTTTATAAATTCGGTGCCAAAAATATGGTTCAATTTCCTAGTGAAATCTGAAGTATACAAACGAGATATTATAATGAGGAGTATTAATTATAATGGAATCCAAGAAATTCAGAATCTTGCAAATGACATGTCATCACTCGATTGCCAGGTCAGAATTTGGTTTATGTTTATATAACGGTCAATATCCGGGTGTGAAAAGATACATAGGAGGATATAATGGCCAGTTCGTTAGTCCTAATCCCGCCTGCTTTAAATTGTAACGTCTATATTCATTCATAATACTCGTCCGGTCCTAATATATGATCTAATTCTTGAGTTAGTTTTGGTCTTAAATATAAGACCTATTTTTCATATTTATCAATATTCTCTAAATTACCCCTATAGATACTTCCTCAACCATAATCAAATAGAAGAGGGAGGGGTATTAAAAAAGATGATTATGGTGTTTTAGGAAAAATGCGTCACTTTTCTTATAATTAACTAATTTACCTAACTTCCTTAATATAATCAAATTAGTTAAATGGGTCTTATATTAAGGACCGGAGGAGTATATAAAGATTGATTCTGATGGATCTTTTAAGAGAAAAATAATCTTTTTAATTTAACAGTTTTTACTCAACTATAATTAATAAGCTGAGGTTTGGAAGGACTAAGTTTTTTGAAAAGGATGGGGAACAATAAATGAAATAGTTAAATTTAATAAATTAAGCTCATCGAGTTTAAAGATTGGGGGAAAAAAATCGTTGCAACTAGTGAATGGGTTCAGTTTAGCTCGCTTGGTGAACAAATAACAATTCTCAGTGGTCCTGACTCTGAGCATGGAAAGCACCTGCTTTGATGCAAGGCATTGCATTGGCTCAGTCCAGTCGGGGGAGGCTGATGGACTCGGAAGTCGGAAACGGCTCCCACCACAAGAAGCTGGTCAGTCCTCTTTCCGGTGAGAGCGACCATACGGTCTCTAGGCGTACGTACATGACGTGGTCCCCGTCTATCAAACCAGACCCCACTTGCCATGTAATAATCCAAAACAAAACTATAATTGCCGCAAATGGTGGCCCTTTGATTCATCTAACGCTTCTCATACGTCCCCTTTAGTGGCGCGTGCCTTTACCGCTGTTTCGTTTGTGTGAGCTCTAGTCTAGCAGTGTTCAAAATGCAACTGTAGGTGAGAGGATTTATTTTCTTCCCTTTTTAATTACTGCAAAGTTTCATTTATACATCCCATCATGAACACGCAAAGGCAAAAGTCATGCACATAGCAAAAGTCACACTGAACGAAGACAGATAAATTTTTATTCTAAAATAAACACATATGCTTTTCACAATAAAATGTTAAATTATATTGTGTATACACACACCTAATATCCCTGAAGTTTGGGTTCTATGCAAATAACGTCGGCAATCTTTGACAAAATTACAAGGAAGCCCTCCTAGTCTATGCAAACAGCTCTTCTGTTGATTACTTGTATACTATCATACTAAATTAATCTAATATGATACAGAATTTATTTACATAATTTAAAATATGGAGGATTATTATTACTTGCCCACAACTCAAAATCTAGAAATAGTGAAATAAAATGGAATTATGAAGAGTTGGAAAGGCAGGTGTTGAGGGCTTCTTCGTGGCCGATCACTAGCCTTAGTTATTATTTTCTATTGTATAATAAAAAATACTAGTAATGCTATTTGAATTTATATGTAATATATGACAAGTTGGCCGTTACTGGACCATTAGAATGCAGGCAGAGACAAGATGCTGCTGCAGCCGGAGATGATCAGAAGTGGGGCCTCATCCTCATACTTCAATCAACATTGCACTTGTGTAAAATAAGTTTTGTTTTGATTTACATCAATGAGATGATGGTAATAATAATAAATAATGACTACAACACGAGATTTGGAATCTTTTTTTATATAAAAAATATCATATTACATAATAAATGATTACATTGATTTTTATTTGAGATGCTTAATTAGCTTCATTCAATTAATTTTAGATGATACAAAATGCAGGCAAAAAGGTTTTATTCGTCCAAAAGGAGAAATTATCTGCAATAGATATTTCTTTCTGCGGACGAATGAGTGTGCAATTAAAAAAAAAAAACAAATGCTGCTCAGAAACATGGGGACCTACCCAAGCCCTTTACCCACCGTCCGCGCGGGAAACGGTTCTGACTATTAAATTGCACGGATAAGATCGAGCACTAGTCTACTGGAATTTACATGCAATGTATCTATCTTGTGATCATTTCTTTTCCTATATATACAACCTCCCACTCTAATCTCCCATCTCATTCCATCCTGTTGCTATTTCTAAACAAACAAGCATCCTTTCTTCACTCTGATATCTTCTTTCTCCAGGCTCAACAACACGAGTCCAAGATCATGAATATTGCGCATTTCTTGTTCGGCATATTCGGTGGGTTTTTCGTCGCTCTCTCTTCTCTCTGATTCTCGGTTCTCTCACTTCTCGTTGTTTCTTGTTTGATTTTGGTCCAGGCAATGCTTCTGCTCTTTTCCTCTTCTTGGCTCCAGTGTATGCATCCCATCACTCTCCTTCTCCTTCTTAGCTTCCTCCTCCTCTCTTCTTTCTTTAATTCTTTCATTATGCCTGCGTCTTAACACGATTATATTGGCCATGTTTAAACCGGCCCTCTTCTTTCTGTGTATGTGTGTAAAAATAACCGCCATTTGCGGGTCAAATTTGTGAGAAATTTCGGGTTCGCAGGATCACATTCAGGAGAATCGTGAAGAGCAAATCCACGGAGAAGTTCTCTGGAATTCCTTACGTCATGACTTTGTTGAACAACCTCCTTTCTGCTTGGTAACCTTCTTGCTCCTTCCTTAATTTCTTTCTTTCTCCCTTCTCTCCACTTAAATCACGTGCACTCTCTTTAACCTTTGAGATGCTATTGTCGTCATTTCGCCTCCGTACCCGGAAATTGAATTAACAAAGTGATATCAATTTCTCGATATTGGCCAACAAAACAACATCCTTATCTTTTTCTCGACGCGGTGCATGATTTCTATATTTTTATCAAATTAGATGAGAAGCGGGGGAAAAGAAAGAAATAAAGAAAGAATTTAAATGGGATGACTCTATCTATAAAATATGAGCTGAAGTTTCAATTACGAAGTTCTTTAATCCCTTCTGACGGACGCTCACGAAATCTCAGGTATGGCCTGCCGTTTGTGTCGCCTCACAACATACTGGTCACAACCATCAACGGCACCGGGGCCGTGATCGAAAGCATATACGTTTTGATCTTCGTCATATTCGCGCCCAAGAAAGAGAAGGCTAAGATTCTCGGGCTGTTCGCGCTGGTGCTCACGGTCTTCTCTGCCGTGGTGTTCATCTCCCTCTTCGCCCTCCACGGCGGCCCCAGAAAGGTGTTCTGCGGCTTAGCCGCCGCCATATTTTCCATCATCATGTATGGATCGCCCCTCTCCATCATGGTAAGCTTTATTTATTTTCTATTTTGTTAATTTCCGGATGATGCAATCAAATGGAACCCCATGTGACGGCTGCTCAGGGGCATTGAATGCAGAGGCTGGTGATCAGAACAAAGAGCGTGGAGTTCATGCCTTTCTTCTTGTCGTTGTTCGTGTTCCTGTGCGGTACTTCCTGGTTCATCTTTGGACTGCTGGGCCGCGATCCATTTGTGGCAGTAAGTACAAGAGGCTGTGCAGTTATTTATAGTGGCTAAGAGACAAAGCAACTTTCACAGGCGATAGGGATAGAGATGGAGAGGGATTTATATATATAATTAATTTGTTGTTTGCAGGTACCGAACGGTGTGGGTTCGGCGCTGGGGGCCACGCAGCTCATACTGTACACGATCTACCGTGACAGCAAAAGCGGCTCCAAGAAGGAAACCACAGCGGCTGAAGTTGATGAGCATGAATCTATGGAGATGGGCGCCGCAAAGCCCCCTCCCACAACTCAAGAAGCAATTACTACTCAACAGTAACCATGGAGCTCAACAAGGACACCTGTCCATCTGGGACGCGTGTTGCCTCGTATTAAGCAGCACTAGTTTCATTCTAAATGCGCTGAAGTTGTAGTCTACTCAACTGCCATAAGGCTGAATTCTCGTTTACTTCTTAATTCCTCTCCGTGGTGGAAGCGCCATCACAGACATGTTTCCTCTCAAAGTGTGATACGATCCATAATTACAATAATAGTCTAGTGAAATTCTGGAAGAAGGTATGAGACAAAGGTGTAATCTGCTAATATTTCCATAATTTTGGACTGACAGTCAGGGGGGGTTCATGATGAGCAGTGGGGACAAAATGTTTAGTCAGTTTACATCGCATCGCACGTTATATATGGCCGTGGATTGTTTAGCTTGGATAGGAAGTACAGCATAGCCGAGTTGGGAAACACAACGAAATTAAAAGACAGAATATCAATTAAACCCACTTTTCTGGTCCACAATATTAATGCCCTTTCACCAACGCCGATGATTCCATCAATTTACTGTTTACACCATCTTTGTTTCGGTGGAGCGGAAAAAGTCATGGACATGATGCAGGAGCGAACCAGAATTTTTTTTAAAAAAATTATTATAAAGTAAATCCATTTCTGCCTATTCCTATTCCTTTCTTCATTTCACTTTCCAGTATACTCCTTTGACAGTCTTTCCATTATGTCAAACAGTTCGTTAATCAAAGTAGTATTTGAACTGTGGTTGAAACGGGAAAGGCTGATGTCTTGAGTCAATGGATCACTTTCCAAAGATACGTTTTTTGTGTGTATTACATAGAGTACGAGATTAGCTAACTATATGTAAATATTTCAAAGATTTTCCACTCCATTCTCTGTGTAAGTCACACTTCGTGTTTACAAAAAGACACCGAGGCAAGAGCATTGGTCCATGCGCTTTTGTTTTTGGGAGTCATGCAGGCCTTGGTTGTTTGTTCTGTTATTTGGGTCATTGTCAATAGACATGAGATTAATTAATAGGCCATGGGCTTCTTATTATTGTTTTTGATCCATTGGTTTATGCGTTTTGGATTCAACATTCCAGTGACACGGACATGGCAAATCTAATCAACTCCACGTACAGCTCATGCAAAGTAGGCCGGTCCAAAATCTGGTCTGGTGGCTGTATTGAAAGGAATATCAGGGTATCATTTGGTTATGAAATGCGCATAATTGAGTCCGTGATTATAATCTACTTGTGCTTTTGTACGATCAAGCTCAACCTTCTTTCTTCCCTGGTGTCGGTGCTCCTTGTCCTTCTAAATTTACGAGTTTACATCGTTTAGAGTCATCGAAGAAAGGAGAAATTCTATTGAGCTGTAAATCCCGCATGAACATTCTGGAGTCCTTGCGCCAAAACTAGTGCTGCCTAGCTCATGCCTCTACACTTCTTGGCAGTTGACGAATTAAAAGTTTGATGATTTTATAAGAGGCGATGCAGGGCACTTCATGTTTGGGGCGGGTGAGCCATTTGAAGGGCAGCCTGAGCAAGGAACTTCTCTCCGCGCTGTGGATCTGCTCCTCAGCCTGCGCGCCTGCTTGATTGTGACTGGACTCATCTGTTCCTGTGAAACCACCAAAACCCATCGCACGCATCACATAAACAATATTCCCATCATCATCCATATATGGAGCTCAACGTAACAATATTATTAATTACGCCTACGCACGTACTGTGGAGGGGTGGCTGGGTTTTTCCCGGTTATTATTGATGTATACTCTTGCAGCTGCGGCCTGCATGTATGAATAATTAAGGAAGCGACAAATATATATATATATATAGAGAGAGAGAGAGAGAGCGAAAAAATTAAAGCTAGTGTATGAAGCAAGATGAATAATTATGATGATGATATAAGAGACGAACGTAACTCTCAATGAGCGGAGGCTGTGGAGGGTGATTGGTGTGGCGGCGGACGGCATGGAATGTGGTCGGCTGTGAAACCTTGCGGGCCGCCTGCTCAGCGCCATGAGATGATGAGATGCTGCTGATGAAGACGAGAAACGCACGCAGGAGGAGGAAGGCAGGCGAGGTAGTAAAGCTTCCGTACGCGTATATAATGAGGCACATTGCTGGCACGGATCTTTCGTGGGTCCCATCAATCTGGCTTCTCTATTCCCCACATCTCTCCCATTCACGCTTTCCATGCACTTCTATACCCCTCCTCATCTCTCCGCTCATCCTTACCGCCCCATCCCGTCCCGTGTTTCTCCCTCATTATATGAGCCTCCGCAGTTTCTCCGTCCCCTTTTTCTTCTTAACCAATTTTACGCCGTTTCTGCTTTGTATTGCATTAATTCATTCTCTACTGCACATCTTAAATTATTTTCATTACAATGTCCATGATTCACAGTAAGACAATATTTATTTATTACAGATAATAAATTTAACTAATTTTTTAATTAATATTCATAAATTAATTATCTAGCTATTGTATTAAGTATTATAGGTAGTACTATCGCTCAAAGTCAAATTTCAATAGCCGATATAAATCCGCTGACTCATTCCCATTTTATTTTTTTAACCGAAAACAACCAAAAAAAAAAAAGGAACAACCGAATTACCTCAATCAAATACAATTGATCATGTTTTTTCATGTCACATTGTCACCTATACAATTTATTACTTTCCGTTTTTTGAACCTTACTGATGTAATGTTCTTGTCCTTTAATTTGTTGCCCTGCACTATTATCATCATTTTGTAGATTAAAATAGAGCCAAGCCCGACATATCATTAATCACTTGTAGCGGGAACTTTATAAATTTTATATGACATATTGATATATTAATGTTATATAGATTTTTCATATGTTAAGAAGATTTGAACCTTCTATCTTTGGTTATCCCTCTTCATTTAATTTGCTCCTCAGATTAGTCTCAGGCAAACGTTTCTTTAGTCTTTAAATTCGTAGCAAGGTAATTGAGGGGGAGGCTAAATCAGAAACAAAAACTGCTGCCCCAAATTTAGAAAACCCAATAAATCAATCGATCATTACGAGAAATTCATAAAGAAGATCACGGAAAGTAGAGACGCAACATATTTAATTGATTGCCTCCCATCGATATGTGGGATGTTACCATACATTTTTTTTTTCGCCAGATACATATTCAGCAAAGTATGTTTTTCATTGTATATACTCTAAATCATGATAACAGTAGGTTGGAATACCCGCTAAAAGAAATTACCCACATTTACCCTGAACAGCTTCCAATAAAAAGATATGTGTACTTAATTAAAAAAAAAAAGTCTTTGTAAAGGAAAAAAGCTTGATAATATACATATATATACATGCACACACCCCAAAGATAAAAAACTAGTTTCGGTGCTCATCAGATCTGGAACGTCCATATTTCATTTGGATAATTCGGATTTGATTTCTTTTTTATTTTTATTTATTCCAAACAATTATTTTAATATGTATATAATTTAAAATAGAGATAATTTTGAATTATCATTCTTTCAAAAAATAGTTTTTTTATTTAAAAATAATTAATTAAAAATTTTAAATCTAAACCATTAAAATTCAATATAAACGATTCAGATCTGATAAATTTAAAGTGCTTATTAAGATGATGTGTGATGAAAGTGGTTTCCAAAGATAATGTTAAAGTTACTGACTGCTTCATAATTTTTGGAAAATAACTTACAAATAAAAATATGAAATGTCAAAAAAAAAAAAGGGTTTATAAACGAGAACTAGCCGGTAGTATAACTCAAATAATCACAACTCACAAGTCAACATTCTTGAGTTTTGACCCCTGCTAGACCATAAGAGTGTCATTCTCGGAAATGATAATTTATAATTAATGTATTGCCAGTGTTTGGAAAATGCTTTCAGAGTAGCTGCTGCTGTGCCGAGAAACACCCTATCAATTAAATGCATTTATATACAGTGCTGGGGGAAGTCAAAATAAGAGGGGGTAAACGTTATTTAATCATATTTCCAATGAATTAATCGAACGAGCGAGGAAGAGATTCGTAAATGAGCAAAATTGACGCAGTCATCATATATGTAAGTATTAAAAACAAAGGCGGGTTCAACAAGAACATTCAACGGTTGCAGGACCTGATGATGACGACCCACTGTTTCATACATATAAATAAGGGGCAAAAAACCTGTTTGATGAAAAAATAAAAATAAAAACCACGCGACTCGGCGAGTCCAGGAGCAAGCTTATTTGTAACCCCTCACGTTCATGCTACCTACTGACTTCATCCAACCCAATTCTAAGCTTCATCACCGTCAGACGCCACAACTTCCTCTTTTGCCTGCTTCGATATTGTCACTGGGACCAGACCCTGCAACCAACCGGCATTATCTGATCTGATCAAGAAATCAAGAGTCAAAATCTAAGATTTGTCAAATATCCGAGGTTCCTTTCTGGTGATCATGGTTCTGATGATATGTGATGCGAGACTGTGTGTGTGTGTGTGTGTGAATGTGTCATCTACAATAATGGCGGAAGCACCAGATCTGGCAGCGGAGAAGGAGGGAGGGTTTAGTACAAAGAAGAAGAAAAAGACGAGGATTACCGCCAGGAATATTTTGAGGGCTTCCTCTTTGGAGTGAGTATTTATGATTTGGACAGCGGCGTCCTGCGAGAAGTAGAGAGAGAGAGAGAGAAGTGAAGGAGAAGCAAAGCGGAAGGAAAAGAAAAGAAGGAATGGGAGGAGAAATCAAACCCTGGCAAGCTTCATTTCATGCTCAAGCAGGGTCTTGGGTTCGGAATCAATGGAAGGCTTCCTTTCGAGAGAGGGGTGCGGGGAGGAAGGAGCGTCCATGATGACGAAGAAGAAGAGTTGGTTGAAGCTTAATTCATGGCGGAGTGAATGGCTCCTGAGAGATTAAATAGAGGGAGGTAGGGAGGGATCTACTTGTAAAAGAGAGAGAGCGAAACAAGGAAAAAGGGAGCATCTTTGACTGCCATTATGAACACTGAAGAGGGAACAGCTGTGCTTTCAACTCAACAGTGAACGTGGCAGCCATGGCCGATAAGAAGCAGAAGCGCTCATACAAATGGCATTCCAACAGATGAATACGCTCTTCTTACTTTCCCCCTTCTCTTCTCTTCTCCTCATCCCTCCCACCCTCTTCCCCCTTATTCTTAGTGTGGGTCCCATTTCATCAGTTTCGCATACATAGTATGCCTTGTCAGGGTCTGTATATTTTACATGTTTGTTTAGAAAGAAGAGACTACCTGGCACATGAAAATTAAAAAAAATAAAAAAAAAGGAGAGGTTTTGATGGTTCTTTCAATTTATTTCATACAACATAAAAAAGATACTTATATTTTTTTTATTTTTTAATTTGATATCTATGTATTTTTTTCTCTTAAGCAAATCTTTAATTTTGTTCTATTAACATCATTAACCCTTATATAGAGGCTAAATATGCTAATAGAATAAAATTACAAGAGCTAATATTGCTAAAAAATAAAATTAAATAATTTAATTAAGAGAAAAAAATACATAGCCACCAAACCAAAAATTGAGAGAAAATATAGGTAATTCCAATATAATTTTCCCAACTTAAAAAAGAAAAGGATGACTCTCTAAAAGGTTTGGACGTGCTCTCAACAGAGCTCAATTTTATAGTAAACAGCCCCCATGACCATGAGAGGCATTTGCCGTTGTTCAGGTTATTACTTATTTGACTTCTGCTTGTGCTGCATGAGCCCAAGCGACGGGAGCACTGGAGATTCTTATATACTCCCACAACACTCTATCATTCGCGCCCTATCCAACAAGCAAATTCCTAATCACATACATCGAGGTCCACATCTTTCACATTTGTCATGAGATGTATCCCCTGTTTCCTTTTTCCTTCATTCTCAGTTCTCTCTCTTTCATTCACGAATGCTCCCCCCCCCCCCCCCCAAACAAAAAAAAGAAAAAAGCCCCCAAAATAAACACACTATTGAATTTTGATGTTTTCCCTCTCTAATTCTTATCTTATTTTTTCCCCCTTAATCTCATTTTTATCTTGTAAATTTTAAAATTTGTACTTAATTAAACAATGCCACTAAAGCCAGAGCATACTTGCGAGGCTGCAGCCCTGCCGCATCTTTCCAGGTTATATACTTCTGCCATCAATTTATTTCTCAGAGTCCCAATATGTTTTCTTAACTTAAACCTCAACACACTCATGCACTGTGTTGATGAGGTTTTGGCACCAAACAGCCAGCAGCATGCTAATGAAACAGATATAGATACCATCCGAAGGGATAAAACCATTCTCGTTACGAGCCCCAGAGGCCACCGATTGCATTCGATTCTGTAATTTCAAGATAAAACCGTTTTCGTTACGAGCCCCAGAGGCCACGGTATTGCATTCGATTCTGTAAGCTTCACCGCGGTATCAAGAAGTACAGTGAAAGAAAACCTACCCCCACCCAGCCCGGGGCGGTAACCCCCCGGGGGGGGTGTTGCGCCTCTACTATTCAGGCAACTGATGTATTATGTTGCGAAACCATGAAAGAAACTACGGCTCTCAGCATATTTTAATGCATTTGTCGGGCCTTAGTATAGACAAAAGACAACTCGTGATGTATTGGATTTTTTCAAAGGAAGAAAAGAATGAAAGAAAAAGAAAAACTGCGTATTGTGGTGTGATGAAGTGTCATATCAACAGAGAACACTCAAAAAGAATAATCCTTCAAATCAGATTTAGAGTCACCCAGATCCATGTCTGCCATGCAGTCTTCCTCACTAAGGGGAGGAAGTTGCCTAGTCTTGCGCTTCATATTGTGCTTGTGCCACTCGCTCTTATGGTGTTCCCTATACAGCATAGGATTTTCAAAAGAAGCATTACATGTGTTGCACTTGTTTTGCTTCTGTTGCCCCTCACTCGGTCCGCCCTTGGCAGATATTGTCTGCTTCTCAAGTTTTTCATTCAGTTCAAGCACAGGCTCGCGAGTATCTTTAGGCAACGGAGCAGGCAGATCCTCGTGATCATTGTATTGTTCCACTTGGGTGTCACCATCCACATAAAGAGAGTGTGCAAGAACTTCGAATCTTCCATGCACGTTGTTCATAACGAAGTCATGGCACTCCTTATATAGGCTAGGTTCCAATTCGAATACCTGCAACTCAATCAAAGATACAGAGAAATTCATACCCAGTCAGTAACCATTCAGAGATATTCATCCATACAATCCACCCAAGCACACCGTTAGCTAAGACCTTATATTTCCACAATCAATGCCAAACAATGCTTAGCATTTAGCAACAGAAAAAGATACAAATGTTTTTCGGCCATCAATAAATTAGAGTGAGTAAAATAGATGCACTGATTGAATGAGGAAATTCTTAGATCATAGCATCCTGTGCAACAACTACATCAAGAAATCTGTATGTTCATATTCTCCCTTAGCTCACACATTAAAGAAGGCTGTATGGAACAGCAGTCACATGCCAGATTTCAACAAAATAAGCTTTGACTTACTCCCTATTCATGTTGTTTCTAAATTTTACAGGTGAAAGGAGGTTAGTGCATATCTTCAATCACACTTCTATTTACAAATTTAAAGTTTCAACCGCTAAGCATGATGGCACCTTGAAATTTAACAAGCACAAACGTAAGAGTCAGCGAGAAGAAAAACCATTGCAGTTGAAACGCAAAATGGATTCAAATGAAGAACTACTTCCACGCAAAAAACTAGGGGAATTCAATCTCACAATGGACAACTGATTAGCAGATGCTTCTTTGGAAATGATGCTGGCCTTCCAAGCATTCAGCTTATCTAGCAGTGTACGCACTTCCTCCTCTGGAGCAGCAACTCGTATTCTTAGTGGACACCGTTTAATTGGAAAGTGCTTTTGAAGCTCTTGAATAACTTCCAGCGCCTTCATAATTATTTTTAAGAGTTACACTTTATTTAAAACAAACAAAATAAAATGATTTAAATGTAAATGAATAGAACTCAAATCTAGTCAACAGATTAGATTGTTAATTAGGATGGGAAGTAAACTGTTCTTTCATAGAATAATCATTATTTGCGACGAGATCAACTTAGAATGTGCTCACACTTCACATTATGATAGAACGGCTTGACAATTGATGTCCATCATATGCCTTTAAAAATGTCTAAGAAAAAATAAAACGTAAATTGACCTGCTTCTTTGAACTGCTGTTTGGATCGACAGCAAAATGTATTTCGCGCATTAGTCTTTCAATCATATTGATTGTGTAAGGACGTTGAGTTTCAGGATTGTATGTCTTCTGCATAACAATGGTTGCGATATCCCTGAACTGATTTGAAAGAATAGATTCCCTCTCTTTCCCAGCAACCTGAAGCTCTCCTTTCTTTAAAATCTGTAAAATGAAGAGGGAAAAATTACATAACAACCAGAGGAAACCTAAATGTATATTCAAATAGACTTTTACAAACCTCTAAACATATCCTTGACTGATCATCAGTCCCAAAGGCAGCAACCAAATCCTTTGACTTTGCTAGAACTCCTTTAGAAACATTTGAATAGACGGTATGCGACTGCAATACTTCATCCAGATCTTTCTCCCTGTTCCAAAGTCAATTCAGTTGAATGATGTCAAAAACACAAATTACATCAACTAAATTTATGAAAATGCATCACAACTTTTCACATTCAGTAGTAAAACACTGTTGCCAAATTAACAGCATTAATATGATCAACCGTAAACACAAGCATGCTTGGTTATGCAGGAAACATAAAGAAGCGACATGGATGGACTGAAATATTCCAGATGAAAGGGCTCACAATGAATAGAGCGATTGAATTGAAACAGAAAATATCATCAAATGACAGTTACTGTAACTAAATAATGCATTCCTTGACGCTGCCACAGAAAAATGACAAGTAAATACCCTCAGACATGATCATAAACAGATTTCAAATACTGACTCAATTAGTCCATCCTAGGAGCTTCTTACGCTCATCATCGGCCAGAAAGACAGTGGAGAGCATAAAGATTTAAAGTGTAATTTAAGCAGAAAAACGCCCTGATTATTGTCCCCAAAAGATATGAGCCAATAAGTCAAAAAACCCCTTGCAAGTTCTCAAGATTGTTGTTCTTTTTTACTTCCTGAGGACAAGACGGAGCATAAGTCGGAACCATAGAATCTTGCTAGTTCCATTCCAAGGCTAGGGTTTAGGAAGAGAAGAGTAGGGGAAGCTCACACGCCAGAACGCCAGGAAAGGACCGTGTTTGGATAGCAGGCGATCTCGAAGCGATTTCCATGCTTCCTCAGACGCACCACCGCCACGTTCGTCAACCTCTTCTGCCCTATCGGCTGCACCAGCGTCCTCGACATCTCTGTCCTTCTCCTTCCACGGCCTTCTTTCCGATTTCACAGAAACTTTTCGTTTCGATTTTAATTTTAAGTCCGCTTCCCTTCTCGTACTCTCTCGATCTGTGGTTTTTTTTTTTTTGGGGTACTCCTCCCGATCTTCTTTGCATTGTTATTTCTGGATTCTCCTTAGGGCTTCAAGCATATGCCATTGTTTGGGCTCAAGCCCATTACTTACACTATTTACACTATTCTTTTTTCTCATTTTCTAAGAAATAATAAGTGAAAATGATCCAATGATGCTCTGACTTATGAAAATAGTAATCTTTGATGCGAAGCTCAGCTGAGAAGGGCTTCGCACTCTCTTAACCCGAATGACAGCTCTAAGTTACTCTCCGTTTCTAAATATAAGACTCTTATACACACTATATAAGATCTTATATTTAAGACAGAAGAAGTACTACTATAAGCATGGAAATAAATTTCTACATTTTTTAGGATTGATTAAGCCACGCCACGCATTCGTCAAAGCTAAAGACGGCACGGCAAGCAGGTAGTTGGAAGTTGGAATTTCCATTTCCAGGACCAGTGGAATTAGAACAAAATACGAGATAATTTGACCGTTTTCACCCTGATCCTCAACGCGGCCCCTTTCCCAGCAGCAGTTTTTGTTACAGCAGAAATTTCTCGCTAGTTTGCGTTAACGATTGTTTTTTCAGTCGTGCTTTATAAATATGTGAGAACAAATGCAAGCAAGCCCTTATAATTAATCTTTGGACCGAACATATGTTAATCTGGATAAGGCGACACATCACACGAATGAACATGGACCAGATTAATTTTAATTAGTCTAACAATTTAAATTTTTTCATGTTTTAAATAATTTTTTCATTGAGAAAATTTTATAAATTCTCAAATCGAAATTTTGACAACAACAGACTTACAAGTAACAATGCATTTTTTAAGAATTTTTTATTTGAAATTTAGTAATTTCAGGCTTTTTTTTTTTGGGTTCTCCTTTTTTTAATTTTAACACATACAGTGTATAATTAAAAATAAAGATAAACTTATATTTAGTATTTAAAAAAAATTACCGTTGAAAAAATTACAAATTAAAAATTGTAAAACTAAATTGTTCAGATTAAATTTTCAATAGTTCAGATATTTTCTATAACCATGAGTAGAACACCATTTAACCACTAAGTACTTTTGGGGGGGGGGGGGAATTTCAACCGTTATGGGGCATTAGTAAAACAGCAACAAAAAGATGTTTAACTTCGAGAGTGTTTGGATGAGTGTAAAGTGCTTTTCAAAAACACTTTTTTACAAATCGAGACAAACTCTTTTTTATATTTACTTGTATATCGTAAAAATACTTTTAAAATCATGGTTTTATTTTTATCTAAACATTCCCTAAGCCTACGCTATCCCTATGAATTTTTGGCTGAAATGAAAGTAGTACTCGGAAACGCTAATTATGCCAACCATAGAAGCCAAGAATAACAGTTTTATGTTGTCAGATGAGTCCTCACGAGGAAGTCAAGCGTTCATGTGTAACATAAATTTCCATATTAGCTTTAAGATTTAACGTCAGCGACTCAAATATACACCTACACAAATCATTAACATTCAGAGTAAACAAGCAAATACTACATTCTCGCCACCAGAGTCTCCGAGCTGAAGAATGAACTGGTCACCTCCATGCTGAAGCAACAATCAGGTTCTTGTCTTCCCATCCAAAATGAAGTGCGCCCATCACATCCTTCATCTTGTACCTGTCACAGTACTGCTTAATGAGTTTTTTGATTGCGTCAGTCACATTGGCACTCATTGGCGACGTAGTGAAGCCGGCCATCTTCATCCTTGCCCTCCATTTTCCAGCAACTTCATAACGTTCAACCCTATCCTCACCTTCGCATGCAACAATATTTACAATGTCTCTTGCCAGGCATTGCCTTTCAACATTCATCCTATCCTGACTATCTCTAGGAAGAGTTGCGTCCAGCGACTCGAACACAGCAGAATAGTAATTGTAGGCTTCAACAAATCGTGGGAAAAATGCAAGCGTATTGGTGTTCATATCTTGTTCAACAACGGTAACAAGTTTTGGATTCAAGCTCTTAACCATGCGTAGAAGTTGGTCTCGTTCATTTACCGTTGAAACACTCTCATCTAGCATGTGATGAAGCTGGAATGCAAAATTCACCACAAGTGCTTCCCCAGGACGAATATCAAGCATCGATGGAGTGACAAGGGAAGACCTTGATGCCACAGCTCGAAATTCAAACGGCAATCCAAGTATTTCTGCCAACTTTTCAAGTCTTTGTCCAATGATTTTTAGGCCCCCAACAGATCGCTGGACGGACTCGGGATCATCAACCCCAGTCAATCTCACATGTGGCGGCTTACCTGGCCTTGAAGCAAGTGCTTGTATCAGAGTTATGTATTGATTTCCTTGATTGATGTCAAAGTCTATTATATGAACCTTCTTTTCATCTTGAACTGCCTCTGTAATTGCACCGTTGGCAGCAATAAATCCAAATTTAAAACATGGGCACACCTCAAACAGTATTTGCATAGCTGCCAGTCGGTCTGACGAAGGAGGTTCCTTGCACTTCAGTGCCTTATAAATACTGCTGCCCGATTCAGCTATTCGAGCTGCAAGTCCTTCCACCATATAAGCTGCAGTCCTCTGGGGAGGATCTCCCTGAATTGATACCATCTGCCGGAGTTGATTTATCATAGACGAGGCTCCCTCTACATTTCCTTCTGAAATTGCACCAGCACACTCTAACAGCAATTGCTTTGGGGTCCGGGGAGAGATACTGCTAATGGTACTATGGTTAGAATCTGAGGATGAAGACTCTTTTGGTGAGCCGTGGTGCAACATATTCTGAATGGGTTCACCCCACTCAGCATCAATATCCATGCTCTGAAAAGTCCCGAGTATGAACTCGTCCTCATAATCATCATTGTTATCACCAAGCAGTGTCCTCTCTAATTCTTGGAGCTTCAATTTCATTTGATCATCAAAGTCAAGTGGATCTGGGCTTCCATTTTCCAAGACATCTGATCCAAAGTTGGACTGACGGGCATCATTGTGTCTCATGGAAGCGAAAGAAATATCAAATGGGTTGTTGGTAACCACAGAGATTCCTGAAGTAGCTCTAACCAGATAGGAAGAGCCATCAGGCAGTGAGTTTCCAGAGATGCTGGAAGTGGGAGTGTCTATCAGTTCTTCAGTTGGTGAATCGTGAAAGTACTTCTCATAACTCTCACTGGAGTAAGAATCTGTTATGTACATGCTTTTGTGTTTATCATGACCAAAAATTTGGGAGGGAAAGCCGGGCCCAATATCACTTCCCTTGATTGAGTAGAGCTTGGCATTTCTATAAGGTGTAGCAGGCAGCTCTGCAGATCTAACTAACGACATGGTTCACCTCTTGCTCAATCAGCTCATATAGAATTTCAGCCTGTATTCGGGATATTATATAAATCAGCCAATAAAATGCTATTAAATTCTGAAAGCCTTTAAAAGTATTGAGATTTATCTACCTTTTTTCACCTTAGCAAAAAAGCAAGCCAGGCCAAACCACTCACAAACGGAATCTTGTTGAACCTTACAAGAAAGCCTGCATTCAGATGGCAGAGACAAAAATAGAAAAGAGGGGAAAAAAATTTAGGAGACGTTTTATTCAAAACTGAAAGATGTCCGCAAGGGACACTACCAGATACGGTGAGTTTATTTATTTCAGCGATAGGTAAACGCCACTTCGTAGATCAACTTACAATTTACAAATATTACAGTTGAAAGTGTTACAGCACAGGTAAACTATAATGCTTCAAAAGTATTACAGTTTGTCATGCGTCAACTGAAAAAAGTTTTCATGAAAAACGATGGGCAAGTTCTATTCAATTCTTCAAAATATGACAGAAAGTAGTTATTAATTTCAGATAAATAGGAACTGAAAAAAAATTTTTGCAGTAGTTTCAAGGAAAAGAGGCTAGTACAATTCTTATTTTCCAGCTAAGAGGCTCCACTATCACCGGCAGACCAACAGAAAATACTGAAGACCTTTGTGTTTCACAGTTTGCACCCTTTTCCCAAAGTAGCCACTACTTACAGATGCATCATTGAAAGGAAATATAACAAATTGCTCCGGAAGAAAAAATTCTCAGTTGAATCTACGAATCGTCGGTCATTCAACTTAAATTTGAGCATGAGCTAATTGTCTGAAGGTTCTCGAACCATGGGTTCTCCAGCTAAAAAATGAGGAATCTATGATCTGACAAACCGTTTGCTCCTCTCGTAAAATATATATCAGGCAAAGGCAAAGGCTACGCTAACATGAAATTCCTACTCAGAAAAGCGAATTGGGGGAAGTTAAGGATTGGGGCTCAAGCAAGAACAGGGGCTCTGACATAGATTTCCTAGAATAAAGTGACCCTGAACAAGATACTCTAGACTTTGGATAAGATCTATTGCTTTGTTTGCCCGTAGTAGGGATAATCGACGAGCTAAAATCCACTATGATGAATTTGTAACAAGTAATCCATGCCAAAAAAAACCTTTCTTGTTGGAAATTCCAACCCAAAGGGAACAGCAGATGCAAACAACACACACACACGAAGTGCAGAAACAGAAAATGTCAAAAAAATCCCTTTGGAATGAACACTTCCTTAGAACAATGAATTCTAACAAACACCGAGAAGGAAGGAGGAGAAATCAAAGTACCATTTCTCCGCTCTTCCTTTTGTCTCTATAATCACTAGAATGATCGGCGTCTTTGGATGAATGACAATCAACTACTAAGAAGTAGGAATATCCAAATATCTATAACAGAACTTGGGCCATAAAAAAAAGGTTTAAAATGAATTTAGTTCTTGAACAAATGCTCAGCAAGACAGCTATACCTGACGAGATCAGAAAGGAAGAAGACGAGAGACCATATCAATCGTCATATTCTGTGATTGAGGGAAACGAGAAATGAAGATGGAGTTCAGGATCGTCTCCGAAGGAAGAAGAAAGCTTAGGTTTTTGACCAAGAGGCAGAGAGGCTATGACCAACCCAAAAGATAAGACTCGTTCTCTCTCTGTGACTCCTTATATATTTAAAAATTGTTTCGATTGTGTGAAACCAGGCAGGCTCGGAAGCAAGAATTTAGAGGATGATCCAAAATTGACAGAGGATCGGGAATGAGAATTGATACAGGAGCTAATAAATACATAAACATTTGAGCTTGAGAAGAACAACAAAAGATTAGTTAAGGGGGACTAAAAAATTCAATGATAGAATATGAACAGATTGATATTCCGATGACCATCTGTTAAAAAGCAATGATGACAAAAGTTCCAACTTCTGGAATGCGATGAGGGGTAAGAAAGTGGGGGAAACTCGCCAAAGACTGGCTAACCAGAATTAAAAGAAACTTCTCAACAATCACCGCAATCAATAGTTATCATTTCTCTGCGCACGCATTTAGCTTGCTTTCTCCTATTTCTTTTCTTGTTTGATTGTCTGTCCTTACCAACTCGTTTGACTTAACGAGACATCATCGCATTACCGCATACGCGTCGAGTGTATTGGTGGAGTCACTCCACGCATCCATCTTCTTATTTGTCTATTATACTTGCATTACATCCTAGTTTTGCGCAAAATCCTCAGTTGTCAATGCAAATTATATGTAACTAGCGAAGTGCCATAATACTCCTCCGGTTCTTATTATAAGACCCAATTTGACTTTTTATTTGGTCCTAATTATAAGACCCAATCCATTTTCTCTCTTATATTTATGCATTTTTTTCCAAGATAATCCTTCTAATAATGATAGTTTTAGCTAATATACTTAATTAGCAAGGATATTTTAGAAATAACAATACTTATTTATTATAAATAACCAACTTAACTTACTTCCTTAATCTCCTCAAATAAGTCAATTGGGTCTTATAATTAGGACCGGAGGAGTATTAGTCTATAAAACTATATCGTGGCATTTCAGTGTTGGAATGGCGAATTATGAACGTCTTTTGTCGGCTAAAAAAAATTAATATAATCATTAATTCTTTAAGTTTCTTCTCATTTTAATTTTAGTCTCTTAAGTTTCAAATTTTTTAATTCCTCAAAGATAAAATGACCCAATTTTTTATTGAATTATAAATAATAATATTTTAGATAAAAAAACTTGAGGAACTTAAATTTATAGTTTAAAACTTGAAAGACTAAAAACAAAAACAAATTTAAGAAACAAAAATTATATTAACAAGAAAAATGAAAATGTCATCAAAAAAACTGGAGCATGCGTCGTTTCTACTCATGTTAGATCCTGCAATTTTAAATCATGTAATATTTAAATAATACTACCTATAATCTTTAATATAAGAACTTGTTTGACTTTTAATGTGATTCTAAATATAAGACTTCAATCTATTTTGTCTTTCATATTTATTTATTTTTTTCAAAGTAATCCTTGTAATACTTACACATGTTAAAAGTTTTATCAAATGATAATTCTAGCTAATATATATAATTAGTAAGAATATTTTTAAAAAGACAGTCCTATTTATAATAAATAACTAATTAAATTAATTTTTTTAATATTTTCAAAGGGAGCGGTAGTACTAGCTTAGACCGGTAATCGTAACACAGCAGAAATCAAATAACAGCGGAATGCAGGATGAAAAGGGACGTCAAATTGTACAGCAAATGCTGACGTATGATTCGCATCATGCGGGTGAATGAAGGGAAGGCCGTGGGGGAGGAATAGTGCGCCTTCTAATAAATTTGAAAAAGATTAAAATAAATAAACAAAAGGGAAAAGGAAAGAGGGTAAACTTTAGGACAAAGTCAGAGTTGGATATCATGGTTCAGACCTTACATGGCACGCCAATATTGGTAGACAATTGGGGGGGGCGCATTTTCTTCGGCCGAGTTTGAAAATCAAAACAGAGCCTTCAGTAGGGGGTTGAAATGACACGCATGCCCCTCCCTCCATCATTCTCCCTGCGAAAACGACCACACTCACTTTTATTCAACAGAGGTGAAAACTACGCGCTCTCCTACTAGCCACCGCATATACACAGAGAAAACAGTAACTTTAAAAAAATAAATAAATAAAAATAACGCAGTGGAGGTGGCCAGGTGTGTCCAATAACGAGGCAATTGGCAGTGTGAAATGAATCTAAAATGTCATTGCGTACGTGCTGGAAACTGGAGGGCTGATCCAAGAGGTTAAAATCCACACAACTCCTCATTTTCTCTCACAATGATCATCCTTCATCTCCTTATCCAAAACGCTTCAGGTCCATCCGCTCTGGAATTTGGCACCATCAAACTGATGTTGACACCCTTCAAACCTTCCACTCATTGTAAAATCTCCCCCTGGTTTGTTTTTAATGATCACGTTGCATTTAACTACACATATATATATGCCTGCCTCCTTTATCGTCTCGTCCATTTTGGTTTGCTCACCCTTGTTTAGTAATTGCACAGGTCGCCTAATTAACCTCCAGTTTTAAATATAAGACTTTGTTTCTAATCCATAAACAGAGTTTTATAATTAGGACTAAAAGCAGTAGAATTAAAATGATCGACGAAGGACATTTATGCCAATAGCTTACAAGTCACGTGGGTGAACTGTTTACAGCTCGAGGCCTTCATGTCAACTATCCAAGAAGGCAGCAGGGGAAGAGGCGCCGTATGCGGGTAGATGACAGGGAAATTCCAAGGAGACGGAAAAATGGTCTCCGTGAATCAGTTTCATATGGCTCTCTCTGTATGAACTATTGAGATTATTGGGTTCATGAGAAAGATCGGCACTGTATAACGATTGTGTGTTTGATTAATTAACAGGAGAGAATAATTATAATATACTATAATGTGCATTCTGGTGGGGGAGGGTGGGTGGCGGAGTTTGGTGCGGGAGGTGTGTATAATATAATATTTGATGAATCCATGGATAAATTATAAGGGGAGACACGGTTTTGGGCAAAGTAAACATACCCAGAGTCATTAAAAACAAATCAGTGGTCAAAATGTGGAAGTGTGGATTGTACCCGACAATGCAGAAAATGAATCGCATGAAAGTCGCAAACCTTGAGCAGGCTGCAGGCGCCCGTTTCAGTGAAAATCAAACTATAATTTTTATAATAAACAAAATAAATACGTGAAACAATTTGTTTTAACTTGCGAAACAATATTTTCTAAAAGTATTTTTAAAATATTCCAAACCAGGTGCCCAACTTGTTAACATTATGGCCTGGTCAGGTATCCTACTATACACTCCCCCCCTTTTCCTTTTATTCAGAAACAACAGTATAATGAATTAGCACAGACGTGATACCAGTATATGGAAACAAAACATTTTAACGGAGTATAACAAATGCACCGGAGGTGATAGCGAGAGCCAGCTACTGAATAAAGTTGACCACGTGAATCATATAATATTATTATGTTCTATTAACAGCCAAAGAAATAATTTAGAAACAATAAATAAGATTAAAAGTCCATTTAAAACATTTTTATTGGAAAAAATATATTATAAAATGAATATGACACTAGAATATCGTGCCATTTCCGCCCCATTCTAACCCACTTAACATGTGATTTAAATTCTTGGGCGCCGAAGCCTTATTACTGGGGATGGGCCGGTGACTGGACTGGCCCAAATCTAATCTCCCGTTAAACAATATAAAGGGAGCGGGTGAAGGCCTTAGAGGTCAGGAGACACTTTATAGACTTAAAAGCCCATCTATCGGAAGAGCCTTTTTTGCCCGGGGATCTGCACCTTTTCGCATTGTTGTTTTTTGGTTTGCACCTCGTTACATCAGCACTCTTCTTCTTCTTCCTTTCCATCTACATTAATACTCAAATATATTTAAAGTTAAATAATAATATTATCATATTTATTAATACAAAAGCTAGTTTGATATTTAATTTTGTCTTAAATATAAAACTCTAATTCACTTTATCTTTCATATTTATCTTTTTTTTTTAAGTAGTTATCATAATAGTTGCAAATGTTAAAAGTTCAATCACATAATAGTTATAGTTAATATTCATAATTAGTAAGGGTATTTCATGAAAGATAATATCTATTTATTATAAATAATTAATTTAACAAAATTTCTTTAATCTACTCGTAGATGTCTAGATGGTGAATGAAATGACAAAGTATTATACCCACCCCCCAAAACTAATTTATGGGTGGCTATATGGTTAAGTTGCATTAAGTCAGCTAAAAAACAAAAAAAGCTGCATTAAGAGGTTAGAGCTTGTAACCCAACCGACACTAAGTATATTTCTTAACACTTTTTACGGGTAAAGTTGCAAGTTCAAATTTCTGATATACTTGTTTATAACGCGTATGTAAGTACGGATGCTTAATTTATTTACTGTAGATGCTTCCCTGGTAACTTGCAAGAGTATATGATAAATATTGACTAATTATTGATTTGACTGGGTGTAATTCAGAATATAATGATTAGAGATGACAAACACACTTAGCAGATAACAAATCAAGGGAAGGTTTTAGCAATTTTGTGGGGGGGGGCATAATTAAAGGAAGCGATGAGGTGGATATATAAGAGCTCTTAATTAAAGGCGCAAGCAGTCATAAGTTATAATCATCATCAAATTAACCAGGCACTTTATACGGTCTGAGCATCAATGATATGGGTGCGCCAGTATATTTATATGCGTCACTCTAATGCCAGGAAGGTAGAATGTCATTCCATTGTTATGTAACAAGCGTCCCAATTTCTTCGAAGGGGAATTGATAGACATCGAAACAAACAAAATCAGAAGCATGCATGATTATTCATTTATACAACTATGATAACTTCCATGTCTCCTGATTATAAAAGCAATATCCCTGAGCTCAACTCAATCGGTGGGCAATGTTTATTGGTTCGGATTTGGTTGCTGGGCTCCTTAATCTGTGATAATCAATCAAAGCCCATAATCATGAACGCATAAAACTGCGCAAGACTCAACGGACTACTCTAGTTCAGAGTAGGACAAAAATGACCAGAACTGTGCGAACTTGATAATTAGTTGAGAGAACCATATCGTTAATAGTGAAAGTGGTGGAGTGGTTGGAGTGTCGTTGTCCAGGAGGCACCATCTAATAACATTAGGAGGCATATCACT